GAAGTCTGAGTCATTTTGAGACAATTCATAGACATTTTACAAATTAGGCATTTACTGTTTGATTGTTATATTTTATTAACAAGTCCTGTAATTTAGTGTCAAATACATTCGATCGTTTCCACCCATATTCTGTTCACGACAGTAGTACTTATGTTAATTGATGAAAATAAAGAAAAAAAATTACTGATTATCTTTATTATGAACAAATATTGATCTGAGTAGTGAATAATAAGATAAAATATCATGACTTATACAATTAAATTATCAATATTGAATTTGATATTTTATTTAAACGTATATGATGAATGTATTTTTTAAAGATAGGGAAGTTTAATATCTAACAGGGTAGAAAAGAAAACTAACAACATTGGCTAAAATCCTTCAAGAATCATTTTGCATATGAAAAGCTGAATTAGGTTAATTATGATATTATAAATTATATTTTCGATAAGATGGTTTTAAAAGTGGGTTGTTTAGTCTATTCAAATATGTTTACTACGACTAACTGTTGTACATTTTAAGTAACGAATTATGACTAATAATCTAGCATCTAGCTTAATTTGGCTTTTTATGTTATAGATCTCTTGGGCTAGATTTTACATGTCGACCTTTTTTGTCCCAGTAATCCTCACATAAGAAAATCGACATCTTATAATTCATAATCAAGTACTGCAAATATTATGGTAGGTTAAACAAGTACTTCATTATTTTATCTAGAATTGACCGGAAGATGAAAGTCACTATCTACTATGAGATAACTTATATTTTAGTTCCGCTAGCCTTTGTTAGTTCATCATGTCTATTTAAATCTGAAAGCAGACAATATTTAATTTCGTTAGTTCAAAGACTTTCAGGTGCGATTTATAATGTAATTCGGCTTTAGTCATAATAAAGCTCCTAATTCACTTATCATTAAAGATAAAAAAGACAATGAGAGCACTGATTATTCTTGCAGAATACGATAGAACGACAGTCTATGGGTAAAATTTTATTCGTTAAATAAATGTTTCAACTGTATACATTAATTGGCATGTTTATGAGACTTCTAAGACAATAATTATGTGCATGAGCTTCGCTTTTGTGAATAACCCCATTCTAATTTCTCCTCGTCATTCAGACTTTCATATAACTAAAAAACTAGCATTATAAATTAACATGATTTATAACAAACACTCCACAAACTATTTTTTTTGATGAATTTATATTCTCTGGGCTAAACTGTTCACTCATAAAGTTCACATTGTTTTTCTAATCAGTATAATCAGAAGAAAGTTTAAACGGAAATGAGTTATCACAATTTATTTACTCGTGACTGATATCTAGTACTGCCAAAATTGTATTCCTTTATTATTGCTTATTATCCATAGGTAGAATGTATTTAGAACTAGTACTCTTATTGGTTTGTCAAGGACATGAGTAGAATGATATTGAGTCTAAACATTTTAGACATAGTTAGACTTAAATTTGTTAACAAGGGTAGCTTTATTAGGTAATTTTCGTTTAATGCTCTTTGGTTATGGATTTCAGTAAAGGTGCAAAAATGATAATTTTAATTATTAAAAGTACATTATACAGCGGGTTAACTTAGCATTGACTTACAACCATAGTTTTTATTGAGCTAATTAGTAAAGTTAAATTTTGTAGTCAATTACGATATAATAAAATCATTTGGTAAAGAGATAGCCTCTAATGCAGATAAATACAAGCTAAATAATATTCAGTAATTTGAAGTAATTAATAAAGTTTGAGACCCTTAACAAGTGTACATTCATAATCCTAGGGAAAAACAAATGTAGAGTTTTTAGTTTTCACCTTAATCATGATATGATTTAGTCATTGGACATAACTCTAATGACCTGGATAGTGTAACTCAACGAGTTATGTCTCCTTTAACTCTAAGCCTTCCAAGTGGGAGCCAGCTTATTAAAATAAATTATCATCTCAATGTCTCTTTCAAAGAAGTATGCTAACGTCACTTCGTTGTAACTGCAGCGAAGTCTTTGATACGAATCACTATGTGGATGTGTCGCTCAATTTCGTGGATTGGTTGATGTTAGACATTAACACCGTAGGATGTCGGGTCAGTGGTACAGAGGTTAAGCGCTCTCACACGAGATTGATAGGTCTTGCATTCAAATCTCTCAAGTCGGGTCGTGGATGCGCACTGCTGAGGAGTCTCACAATAGAACGAAACGACCGTTCAGTGCTTCCAGGTTTTCTATGGTTGTCTAGCTTCAAATGACTCATGATCTCAACTACTGAAATTACCATAATATCCACAAAAACCTCTTTTGATAAAAAATAAATATCAGTCATTCTGATTGATTGTTTAATTGTGGTATTTGGCAATTTGTTGTTGATTTAAGTAAAGTGAGATGAATTTATAATGAAAAAACTTGTTTTAGATCCAAAGGTTAGGTAAGTTTTTTAACACTAGTCATCATCTATATTATACCCATGTCAAATTTACTAGGTGATCGTTTCTCCAGTTTAGCTTCAAGTAGATAATGGGAGAAGTAATGCTTTCAAATAAACATGGTAAATTAAAAACAAGTGATATAAAAGTGTATGAGTACAAGTAATGTGACGATAATCAACAATACCTCTTTGGTTCCTAATGAACTTCATTTTAATGTTTGATTAACTGTTTTTTTGTACAGTCACCGTGGTTATATCAAGTATATGCCGGTAGAAGTCTATGATTTTTCGCTAATATCGGTATCTTCGTCTTTTTGTGAACAATACTGTTTTGAGAACTTTGCGACTTGTCAAAATCTAGTTTTTTCAGAGAGAAATATTACTCTTCTATAAATCGATAATGCATGTTGAATGAAATGAAGATTTTTTATATTAGAGGAAAGATGTTAGCCAAAGTTTAGCTAAAATGCGCTTCTATATGAATGTGCAAGTTAAGGAGAGCAATTTTACAAACTTCTTTTGAGTACAAAGGTTAAGCTTGTGGATAAAGAATTCAACAGCCTAAGCAGTATGCAAAAGATGACCATGTGTACTATATGGTAAACTTGATGGAATACGATGGACAACCTTAAAAGCTTCATTATAGTAAACTTTAAGTCCTATCTCCACCACGTGATAACCCTTAACTTTCCTTTGCTCAACTAAGACGGAAAGGTCATTTTCATCCAGATCAGTGCACGTACCTGTTAATATTTGTGTTTTTTGAAGTGACATTCATAGATTGTTTCGAATACTTTGGTTTATCAGATAGTGGTCAGTATCAAAGTTCTATCTTCAGACAAGTTAATTCGTAGCTATGAAGGTCATTTTAAATAATCATGACCTTATTACCACTCAGAGTGATTTAGTCTACTACATGATGTACAATTATTTTTTAGTTCTACGAAAGTTTAAACGGTTTTCGTTAGTACTTGAAGATTGTTTGCTTTAAGGAATTGGTTACTGTATAACATTTATCAAAATGTGTAACCACAACTTGCGTAGTTATATTTTTCTGAGTATAATCAAGGTAAAACCTGACTAGTTTATAATAACATGCTCTCATTAAAGATAAATTGTTATAGGTGTACACTGTCTAATATTATCAAACTATAGTGAAACAAATGGTTAGAATAATTCAATTTTTAATCAGTTTTAGCTATTGTTATCATTTCAGCAGTTAATTTATTCCTATATAAATAAAGAATCATCGTTTTATAAGATAATACAACAGAAAAAGGAATATTTCTGATTATTTTAGGTTGGAATACGTCAAAAATACCGTTTTATTAAATCGTCATGCAGTGATACCTGGTATTTTACTGTAGTTAATCATTAGTTGAATATTATATTGAAATGTATATTGTAAAACGTTTCATGGAATGTGTTTCTATTATTCCTATTATCACAATGTTAAGTGAAATCATGGCACAAATTGAAGCCTTCATTAACTGATACATTTTCACCATTGAATCTAATCTAAGAAAAAGAAGCTTTTAAATTTATAAATGATATTTAGAGAGAAGCTGCAATTGTAAAATTTACTGACTTATAAAAGTTTCAAAATATATTTTTATTTAAACAGTTGAGCTATGGTTTCATTGAGTCACTGTATGAAATGTTTATTTACCTTAGTGTATATTAAATAGAATAATTAGTTTACATGGGTCTAAGTCTATAACCTTAAGTAGTATTAATTTTATTTGTATATTTCAAGTTTATATTAGTTATATTTAGCTGGATTAACTACAGATCATGATAAATTCATAATTTAATGCAATGAATTTGTTAAAATGCGCAATGAATTTGATAATTGATACTTTTAAACAACTGTTGAAAAACTTTATTCCAAAAGCTAAAGTGATGTTTTCATCTGATTCAGATACTAATTATATACCATCTAATGATGCAATTGAAGGAACTCTCAATGGCTGCATTGTTTTTCTTAAAATACTTTGTGCGAATTATTATTTGCTTTTACGGTTGTATATTTCGCTTTCAGGACTCGGTAGCTAAGTGGATAACGCAATGGCGTTTGAAGCAAGCGGTGCTGGGTTCGAGTCTCAGAGTGAACACTAACTCAGATGCAGGTACATCCAGCTGACGAGTCCCAAATAGGAAGGAACACACGTCCTGGATTTCACTGCTAGCCACTATATTTCACTTTCCTAATGTATAATATCACTGATGAATTAAGTTTTGAAGTATGTTACTAATAAATGCTAGAGATTATTTGAGTAGATAATAGTATATTCCTTTTGCTCATATCTTAATTGACATATTACTTCAAGAAGCCAGTTATTTATATTTAAATTATCTACTGTGAAGTGAGAATTTAAAACCTAGATTCACAGCTTGTTCCTTCAATTATCAAAGATAACTGAGTTAGAGTAGTCAAAACAGGAAATTTTAAAACTGAACAGCAATAAAAAGTTTGGCGGATGTTTTTTTCGAATAGAAGTTTTTTCATTGACTGTTAACTGGATACTAAGAGTATATAGTAGTCTGGAATTTATTCATATTTTTTTAGATTATAACATAAAATGACAAGAAAGAAATTATTCACATTTGGTGTCCCCAAGATTATATTCTATATTGGGTTATTATGTGGATGTATATTAAATGAAACAGTAAGAGATAAAACAATTTACAATTATGGAATACCAAGCAAGCCAAGAATATCTCATCAACAGAAGCAGTTTCTAAAGTCAATTCATGTGCCAGAGATTAGTTTTGAAGTTTATGGAGAATTTCCAACAATTAAGCACTTTGATTTATTTGAAGATGAGATAACTTCCAAATATCAAAAAATGTCAAGATTTCTAAATTTACGAGAAAAGCGTGACTTACAAAACTCAGAGGAAACTTTTTTAAGTGGTAAGACATATTACTTTTTTTTGGAAAGATAATTTAGTGTTTTAAGACTGGTGTGATACATATACTAGATAATCTAGCCTAAACACCCTTTATGTAATCTTTCGTAACTCATCTACGATTTGATTTGGTCTAACTAAGTCAAGTTCAAACTGATTTAATTAATATAGGCGTATACAAATGCAGTTCTAAGTTTAGAAACCATGATCGATTGTGTTCACTCTTTAAGTGACAAATGATTTAGAATTTTTACAGGTGCGTACCTATATAAGTTGTATTGATTTCAGCGACCGACCTATATGCTTGAATAGGAAAATAGTGCAATGTTCTTCTAAACAAGTTAACTGTTAATCATGGCTGATCGTACCACGTATACTTTAAAAGACTGATATTGATCGCGTTCACTGTAACATTACTACTGATATAATATTATTTATGCAAACATTCCAAATATAACAGTGATTGACTAACTTGTCATTTAATCTTTATGTATGCGATAAGGGTAATAAATAGTTCTTCCATTAAATAGAAAGACATTTAACAGTAGTATGGACTGAGATAAGACACTTGGAACATGAACCTGAATAAATAAATCTTCGTGAATGTATATCTGATCAAGATGTTCTTTGTATACATGTCTATAAAATAGTTTAAACTACTTTGATGTAGCTTCACTTTTATAGTCCTTTTTAATAAATATCATAACTATTCAATGGGCAAGTTAATATATCATTGATATTAGAACAATATAACTGAAATATTATTATCATTCTGATGATTTTGATTTGTCTTTTTAGATCAACATTCAGTTTTGATTAAAAGTAGAATTCATTCTCCATTGAAGAATTGGGATGATAAATTAACTGATCCACAATCGAAAATATACAAACTGTTATCAACTAGTTATTGTGAATTTGTAAGTAATATATATCATATCTGAATAAAAAATGGTTATAAAATATTTTGATTGCTTAATAACTAGATATGAAATTTAATTATTTCTTTTGATAAAAGTTATAGAGTAATTATGAATTACGAATATTCTATGTAATCATAATGAACAGAGTAAGTTCACATTTTGTTAGTAAAAAAAGCTGTGAAATGTTTAGAGAAAATTAAATGAAAAACATCAAAAACGTATATTATGTTATCGAATTGCAATAGTCTTCTGTATCTGTATCTGTATATCTATATGTATATATATAGTGATTGCTACGAATATATGACAATATCTTCCACACATACGTCTTAAGTTAATAATTCTAATTAACAAACTGTTATGACTTGTGAACCTGCGTGCTCTTTTATTGTATAACTCAACAATACCGCTAATCAAAGAGCAGCGAATTATAGATCAAACCAGTGACACATAAAATACGTGCGAGCAGCCTACAGTCCTGATTGGTCCTGCTTTACACCTAGCCCAGCCAGTGAAGTCCAGAACACAAATCTCAGCCTCTGCAATATGAATCATTTATTTCAAACATACTCGGTTTATATATCAACCAGACAGACGACAACGTACCATAAAATAGAAAATAACATTTGTACAAGATTTAGCCAAATGTGGCTGTGAATATGGGAGGTAGAAATTAATAGACAGGCCATAACTCATGAATGGTAAATCGTATAGTAATAGTCTATGGGTCAAATTAAAGCTTATAATAAGAGCGACATAGATATGAACAGTCTAGTTGCATAACAATTATACGATAAAAATATACTCATAGTATTGGTCCATAAATGGATCCCAAACATTACCATTCATTATTCTTATGGGGATATAACACAAACTGTATAACTGTATCCGTTTTACAGTTCACTCAGAAGATAATTAATGTTGAATTAAAGTATTTAATACTAAATTCACTTAACTACTGTGTATAACACAGATATTAGTGTTAGGTATTAATGGAGACCTAAATATTTACTGGCTTCACTTTCTAAGATTGTCTTATAAGAAAAAATTCAACAAACAAATTTCATTATTTCAATTATGTTCTTTCCACAAAAGTTGTTTAATAATATTCAATCATTCTTATTAACTAAGGTTTATTGTACAGTGGTTTAATTCAATTTTCAATTATTTTTTTTGTTTGAAAAAAAAATAGTTACTACAAAGTTTTTGGCATGCGAATACAAGTCAATTTAAACAACCAAAATGTACATTTATAAAATTTACAAAAGGTTCTATTATACTCAACGCAATACTAACATTTAACGAAGCAAATTATTCACTATTATCTACACAAGATTTATCAAATTTATTAATAAAAGGCAGTGAAGAATTAATCAATTCTATAATTAATGATAAAAATGTTTCTCTAGGATTTAATTTTAATGGAGATTTTTCATTCAGATGTAAGTTTTATTGTGTTATTTTTTTTGTATTTAATATAAATGAATGTTAAATGGATAGAAAAAAAACTGTTACTATCGACATATAAAATTAAAAAACAAACAAACTACTTAACTAATACTTAACCCATACCAAGACGAAACGGCCGTCCAGTGCTTCCAGGTTTTCAATGGTGGTCTAGCTTCAACTGACTCATGATTTCAACCTGTGAAATACTTAACTAATAATTTACTTGTATTCCATATACTTGATAAAATGTTTTTCTGTTGAATTTATTTAAATAAGTAGTGTAATAGCAAAAGATTAGTTGTAAAGAGATATAGAAATTAAACAAAATATAGTAATACAAATGAATCTATACTCTATTAATACATGAATCACAGTTATTCTTCTTATTCAGCATTAACAATATAAATTTAATATTACAATAAGTTATTTCAGTTCCAATGATAATATTGTAAGAAACTTATGTTTATATTGCTCAGAAGACGAACAGATAGACTATGACTGATATTTTAGAAGTGAATACAATGTTCTTTCTGGATTCTTTTTAAACACATGACATATAATAATGATCAGACGATATCAACTTTAATATTTTTTTCTGAAGTCAAGAATAATTTATTATTATCATACCATACAATTATTGTGCGGATTGCTGATTAAATGTCATCAGATACTTCGATAGATTTAGGGAAAATAATTTTGAAGTATTAATGTCTTATTCCTAGACTCAAACAAGAGTTTTGTTACTGTATTTAGTTTAAATCTGTTCTAAGAATAAACTGACTCCATTTAAGTATATTATTTAATGCATTTTGAAGCAATTCGCATCATACAGTTGTTGAATAGTAAGAAACCTAATGTTGTCTAATTACCATTGTTTACTGAAAGATACTAATCAAGTTAGTAATGTAGTCCCGACCGTAAACTAGTTTAATTTTAGTTGGTTGGAAACAATAAATGATCTTGTAAATGTTGATGGAATTCGGCGTCTGACGCTTCTAACTTCAATGGATAACTCTGTACAAGTAAAAACATTTCTATTTGTCAGTCAACGTTTTCGTTAACATCTGACGGAAGAACAAATGAATATTTTCTCAACCATAGCCTCTACAATTTTAGTTACAGTCAAAGATCAATGGAATAATCACATACCCTCTTTGTGACGTTTCTAATTAGAAGTACCTGACATAAAAGGTGATGCGAGTTTGGATACATTTGCATTACTGAATTGGCTATCGTCAGTGAATCTCCTGTGAGAATCCCAAGCAAACCTCGATTGTTAGTTGGAAGTCTGAAGAACGGTACAAATCTAGAAAGCAGTGTTGAAGTTGCGATATGGTTTGTAATAACCATCAAATTTACAGCTAAAGCCAAAATGTGATAATGAAATAAATTCTCCTTATTACTTTGTTTGTCCCATCAAAACCAACCACATCCAGGAAACATGTAGTCAAATTAATTTGATCGGTAGTGATGAAGAAAAATTGCTTGAGATTATTATCTTCATTCATCTGATATGCGCAAAACTCATCCTTTCAGTTCCCCGTAATCCCCTACATTTCATAAATATAAGTGTACATATTGCTAACTTGGGAGATTAGTCTTTGAGAACATATTGAAGACATATTACGGATTTGACTGGTTTTAGTAAGACTGGTATACAAAGTGTACAACTTCAAAAGCTTCCACCTCTGGAATAAACAGAGGTTGGACAATTTCAAATTTTGCGTCAGTTAATATCCTGATTCATATATTGTTGTCGTAGATTAGGAAATTCCATTAATGATTGTGATATTAAAGGGATTATTCTCTTTAATATCACTCGTCCAAAATTAATAACTTTCTTTTTAAAAATATTAACCTCATTAGACAAGAGAAGACGAAAATATTTTTAGAATGGGATGACAAACGTTTTTTATGAAAAAAATACAGAAATCACTGGGACATAGATGCCATTCCAACTGCTATAAGGAAGACTTGGATCTAGATTTCATACTAGATAACGTACTCCTTGCCTTAATAATGTCAGAACCTAAAAGAGATATTAGCAAAGATAGTTGATTTCATAGTTGACTTAAAAATTAGTAACAAAAGGTGATTTTTTCGTTTATTCAAGTGAATAGTAAGTATTACGAAATGCAAAACGCTGATAATGACACTTTTATCTGTCTAAAGAAATTTCGTCCAACTAAGCTATGAATATTTATTGAATCCATATATATATAACCCAGTAAATACAACTAAGTTATGTATACTATATTATCGAATTCATATATTAAGAGAGCATTTGGTCAGTTATATGCTGAATGAAGTCTTAGATACTAAGAATCATTTAACCAGTCAAGCATAAAAATGTTTATGAAAGAAAATGAGATTAATTCGATATAACCATGACCAGTGAGAAGAAATCGAATGTTTTAAAAAAATATTCAGCGCAAGGTTAAGATGATTTATGAAATTCAAAAGTTTCTTTGTATAATCGTAACCAATGTTATAATTAGTACAACTGAATAGCTGGGAAATATTTCTTTATTTCATTTGTGCTCCATGTGAAAGGATATAAAAATAATTATTAGTCATTAACATTTACTTCATTTATTGTTTTATTAAATTTAGTGACTGAAATAAAAGAAGAAAGTACTGTATTACTTCCAACATCACAACCGCTATCACTATCATCATTACCACTTTCGATCACGACGACGACAACAACAACAACAACGATGATTGACGCAAATGAAATGTACTCATACATGAGGAGTTCTATGGATGAAATTCAATCAAGTGGTATGTTTACATAATCTAATTACAATGTCACTGGTAGTTCGATATATGTGAATTAATTTTCAGCTATTTGATTAAAAAAATATACCCATTAAATTATAAAAGAATTTATTCAGCAAAGGTATCCTTTATAACGAGTTCTTTCTCAATACTGTACAACCGTATATATGTAATAAATTCTTAGTCAATGAATAGTGACATATCTCTCAAAATTTGACTAGGTATATTGTGAAATTAAACTACATCACTTCAAGTAAACGTACAGATTTGAATAGAGGAACTTTATGAAACTTGTTTGACATCTATTCAGCTTATCTTTTTACGTTTAACCATACTACTTATAAATAGCAAGTAGTTCGAGTAATTATTACCATTTCTAAGGCTTGTTAACTGTGGCGAGTGGGTGATTTCTGATTCTCGTCAAGGCTTAAGAAAAATTACCACATTGAAGGGTTTATTAATGTATATGTAAAAACCTTATGGTTTATTGGGGAATGGTAGAGAACTAATGAAATTATTCTATTATTTACAAGCATGTCTAACTTAACTTTTCAAGTACTTATCAGTGAACATTTTGGGATCATTTTAGAACGAACGGTCTTTGAATGAATACGAATTACTGAGTGATTTCTTTATGTTTATGTATGCTATGTCTCTTAGTTACTGACTTTCTAATTTGTCCGTTCTTTGCAAGAATAAGTACAATGTGAGATAATATGTAAAGTGCATTTCAATTTTCTTCATCTTACCTAGCTTCACTTATAAAATCTTACTTCAATACTTTTTCATCATTAACATAGCCAACTAAATATTCGCACCAGGATAAAACTTGATGGTGAGACACGAGTTCGACGGGAACTACATGACTTTGAGGCATTTTCATTCAGTGAGAAATTTTATTGGTTTATTAGATTAAATTGTTTATCCAGAAAGTATAATTATTTTATATATTTACAAAACAATCAAATGAGAACCAGAAAACAATAGGCAGCTGTCTTGTCCCAGTGTTTGACTCCCCAACAACCCACGTTCACGATTCCTCACACAAGACTGTAACCTATGAACGTCAAACTCGCTCAAAACCTTAGCCTTCAGGGTACTGAGCAGGTAACTGACGGTGTTAATGTCGAAATATAATCGATCCATGATCTTGCACAACCCTCCATCGATTGTCTTTGGTGGGTAACTGACTCACACTCGGCACTATTAGACTCTACTGGTCATGGTTTCTCACTAGAACTCCGGAAAATCCACTTTGAAGCTAGTCACTAATAAGCACATGATTACTATCAGAATGTGGATTTGTGTAGTGGAGTATTATCCATGTTGGGTGAAGACAGTTATCTACCTAAGACAATGGATGAAGAGTTGTGCAAGATCGTGAGTCGTTTGAGGCTAGACATCAACACTGTTGGATGCTGGCCCAATGGTATAGAGGTTAAGTGTTTGCATGCAATGTCAGAGGTCCCAGATTAAATTTCCGCGTGCGGGATCGTAGACACTTCTAAGGAGTCTCATGCTAGGACGAAATGGTCGTCCAGTACTCTCAGATTTTCAGTGATGGTCTAGCTTATATCGAAAAATGAGTTGAACCATTTAAATTCTTAATCTCCACAAATCCCTAATCTGATTATAATCAAATGAATTTTCGTTAGTTTTACATCAGTGTCTGGTTTGTCCTATATCTTAAGATCATTTGTAAATACATGAAATGAAGAATATTTCAATGATTATAAAAATTCGGTAAGTTGGGTAAAACTGTTTGATGATTTTAAATTGAAAGATAAATTAATTACTAAAATACATTCATAGATTGTTTCGTTACATGAACGTTATTATTATCTGACTAGTTAATTATTCTTTTTATTCAGATGATCAATGTGAATACATAGTAGTCAAATTACTAATAAGTTGATATAGGAATTATTTATTCATTGTTTATTCAAAGTTATCTGTAGTATATTTTGATTTATATTTGATAAATTAAACCTATAAATTGAAAAAGAAATTTTATTCAAAGGAAAACAATAATATTTATGTTTTGAATTTATTTCAGTGAATTCTAGCAGTGATTTTATGGATACAGAACAATCATTGGCATCAACATTATCTAATGATGAAACCATAGATACAATAACATATAGTGTAGGTAGGTTCATAAAGTGTTATCATTAATATGTGTCTTTGAGTGTTATATTAATGTCTGGTAAGGTCATTTAACTTATTTATGTTTACTTTGATAATACACATTGTCAATATTAATGTAAGATGTGATGTAAAATATTATTAACTTTCTTAGTTATTCTGCTAGAATCTTTGTTCTTGCTCTTTTCAAAATGATAAAGTGAACTATGTGTATGAAACTTTCTTGGTGCTAGAATCAACTATTAAATTGCTATTGTGTTAGATATAAGACAATGCGCAAGTGGTTTGAACATTTTGTCGTTCATCAGAATGATCCATCAGGAACTTCGCTTTTTTTTTCTTGAGATTGAAGTTCTGTTGGTTGCAAAAATATTTCGTTTCAAAATGGTTTCATTGTTAAAACGCTTTGACCATATTCATAACTAGTTAACACGACAATTAAACTATATTAACACGACTTGGTCTTCTATTACAGCAGCATTGTGATTTCTTTGTAAACGAAACTGTTAGTCATAATTCAATTATTTCTTGAATGTCCCATAACTCTTTAAAAGCATGAACAAAAAATCATACATGTTTTAAACACAGTAAATAAACCTCGTTACTTAACAATATTAATGGAAGTGCTGTACCGAAAAGGTAAATCTTATATTTGTTTTTCATGGAAAACCTAATAATACAGAAGTAAAAGTCAAACACATATTCAGGTTATTATTAATTAATTTAGCTGATATTTCAATATATGCTTTAAAAATTCAGTACTGAGTAGTCAACGTGAGAAACTACAATCCCTACTAATTATCAGCATCATTTAACAATTTATAGTTTTAGCTCTTCATATGAGTATAATATAACCCCCACAAACTTTCATCAACGAGTAGGATATGATAACACAGATGAATAAATAGTTTGTGTTATTCTATATATGAAACTGAACACTACGAATGTGGATTGTTATATCTCGACTCAGTGGTATAAATGAATATTGATAATCAGGATATCTGAAAGTTCTAATTTTAATTCTGCCTACAGGTGTTGATAGACACCTCAAAATTAATAAACTGGAAACCGAAATCTGTGTTTTGTTCCTGATTTACCAATAGTTCTCTACTTAATGTAAGTCCTCAGTTAAAACTGACTTCGAAAATAGATAAGTGAATCCAGGTTAAACGATGCGCTTGTATGTTGTGACTAAAATAATTCTTATAATATACATTCGTTTGAACGTCAGTGTTATGGTATCGTTTCCTTAGCTAATACCTTTCCATAAACTCCGCGAATCCTAGGAAACATGACCACTATCAAACTTATTCAGTTGAACTAAACATCATCCCTGGTAATTATTTTTTCAATAATTCAAATAATTCGATTCACTTATGGCTTCAGAACAATGTAATTATATACGGAATAGATGGAATGTTATTGTCAGTAAGACTTAAGACGCATGTTTCGTCTTATATGAGACTCGTCAGTTGATATCCACTCCGAAATTTGAGTCCGGTACCTTTCACTTCGGACACCAACTCGTTCAGATAACCATTCATCTGTGAGAAAGGTATGGTACTAAACCAGTGTCCTAGATTTCACTGGTAGCTACATTCATCAGTTCCACATAACCTTGTGTCAAAGTGGTTATATTGTAGCGATCCACAGATTATGCATTGATGCAAACCAAGAGTGGCCAAATTTCAATCAAAATATCATCAAACGGATAATCCAAATCGTTATCAATTAAATTAATTACATAGTTGCTGTTACGTATGAATATGATTGATGAATGAAAAATAAATAACCCGATCCAGTGCATATTTATTTTTATTCATTTCTTTTTCAAAGCTTTGAATTTTACAATTCAAGCAACTAATAGTTCACTGACATGGGATGATGATCTACTGAACACCACTTCAACCACTTATCAAGAATTATCTCGAAATGTTTGTGAATTAGTAAGTAAATTTTATTCTTAGAAATATTAGTAACATTTAGTTTGTTTTGATGACTCGTTTAAACGAAATTAGTGTTTCGTTGTCCGTTTTTTCCCGACACACCAGTCAATTTTTATTCTAAACACTCATCTGACTTTAACTGGAAAGTATTTATATACATTTATAATCTATAAAACGGTTAACAAATATCTAAAATGCATATCAATAGTGTCAATGTACTTCTGTAATAATTTTTAAATTGTAAGTAACCCAAGTTAAATGTTTATCAATTTTCAGAAGTTACTAAAATACATGTTGAGTATTTATTTGATGATTACCCATGAAAAATAACGTCCCAATAATTGGCCTAGGTCAAATAAATTACGCAGCTCATCTTTACGGAGTATTACAAAACTTTTAACTTTCATACAGATCATAAACCAATATATGTTAGACCACCACTGAATACCTGGGAACACTGGATGGCCGTTTCGTCCTAGTGTGAGATTCCTGAACAGTTTGCTTCCACGATCATGTGCTCACTAGTGACTGGCTTCAAGAGGTAATTTTTGGAGTTCTAGTGGGAATCCATGACCAGTGGAGTCTAACCCGTGTCCAGTGTGAAGCAGTTGTCCACCGAGGACAATAGATAAGGGTTGCGCAATATCTTGGATTGGTTGAAGTTAGACATTGACGCCGTTGGGTGAAGGCTTAGTGGTCTAGATGTTAGGCGTTTAGGCGATTTCGAAGATCTTGATTCCGGGCCCTGTGTACAGGACATAATAGTATGAATAAACTTGAAGTAACCTTTTAGTAGTAACGCACTATAAAAATCATAGATTATGTTAATATGTGAAATACAGAGTTAGTGGAGAGGCTGTGTAGTTTTAGTAGTGATCAAGTTTATTTAAAGGAATTAGTGTTCTCTGATAAATAGTAATGTCGTGATTTACTGCTGTTCATAACTCTACGGTTTGAAGATCTTAGGGCCTTAATTAACACAATTAATACATGTTAAACAAAACAGGAAAACATTTCTCAGTTACATTTACCTTTCGTGACAGTCAATCTCAACGAATCTGCATCACTTTAGAGCTTAAAATTTCTATGGATTTGAAGAATATCGGGTCAAAAAAATTGTTTCATTTTTCAGTATACGGTTATGAAGATTGTTAAGTTGTGATCAAGATTATTTGTGGCATTTTACAGATTTGCAAATAACTGTAGGGTAAAATAATAGAACAATTCATCCTTAGCTAAAACAGAAAGTAAAATATTCTCATTTTAGTGGTTTTGTTCGAGTTCAATACAAAGTTATTTTTGATAAAACTTTTATTTGCAAGAGCCAATAGAATATCAGACAATGGGATTTTCACCGTTATTTTAGAACTATAATTAAATAGTTACACAAACGATTTTGTTGTGTATAGCAAAAGTGAATCATGGTAAATCTAAAGTCTTTATTTAATCTAAAACTCAATTGAGTTTAAGTTATGAGATTTAGACTCTAGGTGTAGCAATGTATATTTACATTTAAACGATAAATAGGGATGGAAAATATATTATAATATTGTTAATCAATCTCATCATCATATGATGATGAGACCACTGATTTTTATTGAGGACTAGTCGTTGGCTCAACTGTAATGATTATTTCATAACCACGAACCGTCATGTGATTCAATTATTATGGACTAACCACTCTAAACTATGCATAGAGAGTAATTGTTGACTAATTGTTTACCTTAAACAATTTGATCCAATGTTGATATTACTTATTTGTTTTGTATTAAGATTTCATAATATAAATAATGTTATCCCTATTAGTGTTATTATTCTTTGTTACACATTTAACTAAATGAAATAACAATCAACCTAACTATCAGAGTTAACAAAAATCAGCCAAAATCCAAGTGATAAACTGCTATCACAGTCTATCCATCAGTTATTACCTTTTCATTGAACCTCGAAAGTTTATCAACAAATTACAAACTTGAACAGAATTTCATTGGTGACAGAATAGTTTCTAAATTGAAAAAGTCTAAAAGTGAAATTGTTGCAAAGTGGAGCAATAAAAAGAATATAATTTATGGAAGGTAGATAAAATCAACAATATTGAACCATTATTAGTGACATAACCTCACCTTTACGTAATATGACAATTATTAGAACAATGTTTCTGACTTCAGGCGCATTTAGATTATCCAAGAACACTTAATTTCATATAAATAATTCGATAAACCATAATTATCGATAATAATTCATCCAAACGCAAAGATGGTTAGTGGCTAGTAGCGGAATTCACGACGCGCGTTTCATCCTATTTGGGACTCGTCAACTGGATGCTCACTCTGATACTCGAACCCAGTACCGTTCGTTTCAAACGCTATCGCGTTATCCACTTAGCTACTGAGTCCAGATAGTCACTTACTTGTGAAATGGGGTGGAGTTTAAATTTACTTGGTATTGTTTGTTTGAATCTTCCCATTGATGTTTAGGGTGCAATTGACCAGTCTCTTGATGGAATATGTGCATATTGTGTGTATTACCTCGATATAAGCTTAATTTACAAGCATTATAAGCAAAGATGGATAGTGACTAGCATTGGAATCCAGGACGCGCGTTTTTCTAAGCAAACGGTACTGAGTTCGTGTCTCAGGGTGAAAATCAACTCTGAGATGCAGGTACATCCAGCTAACGAGTCCCAAATAGGACAAATGCGCGTCCTAGATTCCACTGCTAGCCACTATCCATCTTTGCTTATAATGCTTGTAAATTAGGGCAATATCGAGGCAATACGCACACTATGCACATATGCCAATAAGATACTGATCAACTTCAGTCCTAAACATCAATGGGAAGATTCAAACAAACAATACCAAGTGAATTAATTAATCCATACGTTTTAATAAATATCAGGTTAGAAAAGTTTTGTCTGTTGACAGAATACGTTTTTATGTTTTAAATAAATCTCTGAACTTAAGATATACATTTTATGAGTGATAATAGACTGAATATAATAGTTTATTACCAATGTGTTGTTTGGTTCCCATTCTTAAGAAATGCTAAATATTTTTTGAATAATTATGAGCCGATCTCTCATTAGCTTACTGTATCAGCTCTTACTCCTGAAAGAAATAGGTTTGGCTGTACGAATTAAACAAGGTGTAGGGTTAGATTCGTCGCCAAATATATGCAAGTCTTAACAAATCTTAATAATAAATGGTCCATAATTGGAAATTAGATACAATATTCTATATAGGAAGTATAATTTAACACACCTGCGACACATTATAGTTTCTTAGTTCATTTTATCATGAGCCTACATAAAAGTTACGGACTAACATAAGTGTGATACTATGTTCAAATCTCTTAGAAAAATTAATTTCACTAGTACATTATAAAGAAATACTATATTAGATATTGTACAAATACTAGACATGATAAACTCAAGAAGATCCAAACATAACTTCGACTGATAACTCATATATAAGTCAGAAAGCGATACAATGAAATTTTCAGTAGTGAATTTAGTTTCACTGTAAACAATATGATGTTCCGTAAAGCAAATAAAAATAGATCTAGTATATCACTCTCAACTACAGCAATCGTTTATTTGTGATGCTTCTGTTACATATGGAATATTTAGTAGATATATTAAAATTATTTAAAATAATTAACAAACTATAATTATTTTCTAAGGAGATTCATAAATTTTAAAATAACACTGCAAAATGTCCACCAATTGTCTCGAAATGACTCAGACTTCATTATTCTTGCATTTTCATACAAATTGCATTCTATTTTCATTCTTTACTGTTCGATCCTTTTGTTTCTCTGCTGCCAGACCTTCTATTCACGACTAACATTATCTGCTACTTATGTCAATATAAGTAGCACACACCACAGATAAAATTCATACGGTTTCACTTAAGTTCCTAATATCCGACTTTGTTAAGAAGCAGTATGTAATGTGTATATAATACAAAAGTTATTTATCTAATAACTTTTGAAGTGCTGTATCAAAATTCTTCAATATATTGTTTCCTAATTAAAAATTAATTTCTTAGTTTTTATATACTAATACTTAGAAACTTGTGCGATGTAACGAATTTTTCCTGTGAGTCGTTATGAAGATTACAATGAGATACGACTGATTTGTTGTATTCTAAATAAGTTGTTATTGTTTTTTGTTTTGTAATGGAAACTAATCAATATTATCAGAAAGAATTATACGAATTAGGCACATCTAGGATTGGGACAAACATTGAAACGTGATATATTTAAGTATTAGTATTAATTTTAGTAAAACTATGTGTTCACTAATGGCAGTTATTCTTTTTTTATTACTACAAAAATCGTCCAACCAAAAAAGCAGTCGGTTTTTGATTGATTTCTTTTACTATTTGACGTCTATCGGCTTCAGAACGAACACCTGTAGTAAAACACAGTGTTTAAAAGACAGATGTTAAGAATCTCATAATGGTTCCTGGAAAACTGTAAAGTTCGATGATAGAATGTGTTTTTGATATGAAAACCCTAGGAAAACCTGTTGATTGTCGGAAGTTGTTCTTTTTCAAGCTATTGACAACGAAAAATGTGATTTTAACGTCAAAATATGTAAGGTTTTAACCACGTTTATTGTTGGACATATAGGAGTATGATATTCCATTGATATTCTTTAATAGCATCACTGATGATTATTATCTGCCTAGTACACCAATAAGCTGTCGTTAAAATCCTAAACATTGAAACCAGACTAAGTCCATATTTAAGTCTACATTTTCTTTGCCTATTAATAGGCAATCAAATGGATTTAACCCATGGTTCATTTTTGTCGGTTTCTATAAAGCAATATTTTCAGCTGTCATCCAAATGACGAAGAAAGATTCACTAGATATAAGTTCAATGATTTAAATAAACAAGACACGGAAAAGAAAATTTTACAAACGGAACAAGCTTTCATATAAATTGTAACGCCAAACTGTTGGAAATAATGTAAACAAACTACATGCTACTTATTTGCACCATGTTAATTACGTGTTCTAATTCAGAGAAAGAATAAATCCCACTTAAAACGATTCAGTGTGAGTAAAGTCTTCATAAGTGAAAGAAAGTTTTTAATAAATATCTATCCCGCAGATTAAAGTACTCAAAATAATATAGGAACTGTAAATTCACAGATATATCTACTGAGAAGTATATTCATTTATTTAATATCGATAAATATTTTTAAATAAAACTTTCAGCTTTTAGCAGCTATGAGATCAATTTTATCATCTCTATGGATTGTTGAATGTGGTACCATAAAATTCAGAAAAGGGTCCATTGACGTTGATGCTGAGCTTATTTTAATGGCGAATTCATCATCATTTGTTACAACACTTGAACCTACATCAACTGTGCTAAATGATATTAATATAATCAAAGGAATAAATGAGTATGTTTCAACTGTGGATCAAAATAATACATTTGGAATTTACGTTGATCCAAATTCAAGTATCTCATTATCATGTAAGTCATTAGAAAAATTTCCGAAAGGTAATATATATATATATATATTCAATCACATTGGAGTTGGCTGCACCCATTTACCTAGATTTGCTATTTTAGATCCGCATAGTTTGAAATAATACACAGTGTTTTGGCTTTACTGGGAGGTAAATTATATATGATTTTTTAAAATATCATATTCCCCTACAAAGGCGATACCTGTTAAAATCAATACATTATAAATACTTAGGGAATAATAATATCCAAGGGGAAATTAGCTTGTTCAATATATCAGAAACTTCTTGAAACTTTGGAAATTTTTGATAATGAGACTACACTGACCACATGTTGAATTTATTACCAATTTTTCTGTCAAGTAAATATTCTGAATAATAAAGTAATGATTTACAGTTAAGCTGATTATCCTTGTTGCATTGTTCTGTCTTACTGTGCTTTACTTTTCTTAGTTTAGTCCTAAAAGCAATAGAAACTATTTAATATTTTGAGAATGTAAACTAAATTTCTAACACTACAACTGAAGAAAACCTATCAATCAATAAATTAACAAGATCTTACGTTGCTTGCTCTTAGTAGAAGGCGGATTTGATCTCTACCTAAGTTTATGTCAAGGTCTTCGTAAATACTAGTGGATACTTCAGGAACGATCACTATATAGGTCTAGTCATTTGAACGCATTATCTACAGTTATCGTCAGAACATCATTTCAGTATGAAGTGATAACGGAAGCACAAATGTGTTAAATGCATAAATAAATTATTTTTGATAGGTGGATGAACTCACTTGTTAATAACAGACTTTATTAACAGTATATTTGTTCTTAATAAATAATTTCTAAATTCGCGATAATTGATTAACAAATCCTGGACACATTAGTTGAAGTTGCCAGATATCAATTTAGTCGTTGATTTATGCAGAAAATATTATGTGCATAATAATTATTTGTTCTCCTTACACTAAATTTTTGTCGAGGTCAATGTTTGACATCTAGTTATGCTTAAATTAGGTTACTCTTCATAAAATGTACTTATTGATAGACTAAATGGATTAAAATGATTTAAAATATAGGTCCGTGATTATTTGCACATGTTATCTATGGTGGATGCTACAATGGATTGCAAATATTTTCCCATTTACCGCAAAAATGGGAGTTACTGAATAAAAATATGTGAGCTATTCCAAAAGACGAGAGTATGATTTGCGTGAAACATTAAAAATTAAATCAAATGATACTTAAAATTATAAGTTATTTAATCGATAAGATTGTGTTACGCTACAATATTTCTGAAGCAATATATAGCCATTTTGTAAAAATAAGTATGTTCTCCTGGTTTAGCGATCTCATGAAGGATTGATAATATGCAAATGAAACTAAAAACGTTTTGTACGGAGAAATGTGATAAATATAGTTAAACTTCTTTATTCATTTGATTTCACAAACAAAATGGATTGTTGATAAATTTTAAGAAATCATCTCAATCAAATGGAATTTCCATTAACTGGTGACAGTTAGCAAACATTTAGATGAGTCATTTAAATAGATTGCATAATACCGTATTCTTGACTGATATTTAGTTTTTATCCCTGATAAACCAAGATATCTGAATTTTCTGTCATTCAGCTAATTTGAAAGAATTTGTGCAAAGCAACTGTTTAGATCAGATCGATCAATCCAAGTGGTGATAGGTTACTCTATGGATTTTGTATTGACATTATCTCAGTAACTCTCCCTGTAATCCACTGATCTAATTACAGTACATATTGCAAAGTTGAATGATTAATTGTTAAGTAGCCATACCGATTAAGTCAGTGGATTAATTGTAAAAAACGTTTATTCAGGGAGCTATTTTCGTATGCTTAGAGCATAACCTGTCAGGAGTAAATTCAAATTATTTCAACTGAGATAATAATCACTTAAACTACTCAAACTCTGCTTATCCATCAGAGTGAATGACATCTGAAATTGTGGTAATTATTTTGAAGATTTACAATTCCAAATGAGAAAGACATAACTCAGGAATAATAAAATTAACAGATATATTTTTTGTTATATCCATATGAGTAGAAAATTCGTAATTCCTACATTTCGTGAATTAATGTAAGCCACTTGTTCAGAGCAAATGAATAGCAATATTATGGTTATTTAAACTACTAGGCTGTTCGAACTCAGTCATTCAGAGTTCGGTCAAAAAGAAGTGAAAGTTAACAACAAAGGGATGTTATTTAAGTTTTTTATTTGCTTACCACTTGACATGATATCATGAGAGCTTTCATATAGGTGTTCTTGTAAGTGATATGTATATATATATATATATATATATATATATATATATATATATATATATATATATATATATATATATACATATATTCAGTTGTCTTTAATTAACTAGCAGTTGAATATAACATTTGTATACCTTCATCGGATTGATTTCTTATATTATCCTGTAATTGTTTACATTGTTCAGTGATAACGTTAAGTATGGTATCAACAATACCGTATGACAATCAGGGTACATCTGAAGTCATATTATCTGAAACATCTTCATCTTCAGATTTCTCATTTAGTGTGTATTCAACAAATACAGGTTAATCATTGTTCATTTGAAATAAATTAATTATTCATAGTAGGCAGTTTATCAGATTAAAGGTTTATTGATTCACGAAATTAAGATCTTTACATAGTAGAAATCAGTACCTGGCTACTGAAATAAATAATATCAAACTCAAATGATGCAAATCAGTTGTCATTCTTATTCTAAGATACAAATCCTTTTTGTTGAAAGCTAGATTACTCGACTCGTAGATGAAGAAAAGCAATGCAGGTTGCATGATGAAAAAATTTATACGTTTAATTACTCAACAATACCTAATCATTAGATTTCAACATGTCATTATTACTTCTCCTATATTACTGAATTCAATAGTCAACCATTTAATTAAATTTTGCGATCTCATTTGGATAAATTTTGAGTTATTAAAAATAACTAAGTGCCAACAAAGTTTAAACTATGACTCGTTGAAAAAGACTGGATTTCTATATAGAAATAAATCATTACGACATAAAATAAAGAAAGTAAGTAGTCTGAACGCATTCAGATCTGAAATAACATCAAATAAAACTTACTTACTTACTTACTTACTTACTTACTTACTTACTTACTTACTTACTTACTTACTTACTAACTCACGCCTGTTACCCGTCGTGGAGGAGCATAGTCCGCCCATAAGTACTCCCTATCTAACCTTGTCCTGGGCAATCCTTTCCAGCTCTTTCCAACCGTTATTCATCCTTTTCATATCTGTTTCTATTTCTCGACGTAATGTGATTTTTGGCCTTCTTATTTCTCGCTTCAACTTCATGATTCCAACATCAAATATATATTCAAAAATAATAACCATGATAACAATAAAAAATAAATACGCTTAAGAACATGAACGTAAACTTATCAGAAGATATAAAGAGAATAAGTGAGAAGTTAAAATAAAGAAGACAACGGCAATGAAAATATCGACAATGAAGGAAATAGCAAAGAAAGTAATGAAATTCATTCAAAGTGAAGTGGTGTACACAATCAATAGCATATTAGATATTGATTAAATATTGATTTTAAAAAATGAAAGAATAAAAATCTACAAAATCGCTAAAATTAACTCAATAACAGAATGTTGTTAAACTTCAAAAAAGGAAGAACAAAAACGAAAGGAGAATAGGAAAACTGTTCCGAAAAAGAAGGAAGAAAACAAAACAAAACGGAACAATCAAACACAAATTGATGAAGCAATCGAGAAGAAAAAACACACTGAAAGAAATAGTGCAAAAAGGAATGAGCGAAATGAAATTTAAAGTCGAAAATCTTCAATAAAACAAGGAGAACAATTATCGAAACCAAGATGGATACCGATACCACCACAACGATAACGATCTTCACAACATCCACTATTTCCAAACTTACGTTCGTCCAATATTGATTTGACCAGTGCAGTCGAATCGATCACACCTTTCATTGGGTCCACAATATCAAAGGAGATCATCTTCATCGCTGATCAACATATTCCAAGTATGCTGTAACTTGTCATTCCATCTGTTTTTGTATTTACGTTCACGCCTACAATGCACAATTTTTATTCTACTGACGTGATTCATGGTTCCTTTCTTGGGACTTTTCATACATATTTATTTGCTGACTCCGACATTTTCTCGCCGCTTTATTTTGATGTCTCATCAGTTGATGATTCCTCATTTTCGAGCTCTGATTTTTCCTATCTCATGCTTAGAGAGTTTCTAGTATAATTGTTATACCTACTATTAACATTGCTAGACCTTTGATTAATGATTTCATTTTGTTTATTTTTCAGGCAATGTTCTTTCATATGATTCAGGTATGTTTAATGTTTTTGCTAGTTTGGTTTTCAGTCTAAATCTCCTTTATATTTTCACAGAATATCTTTTTACTTCACTTTGATCATTTCTACCATTCTCGATAATTTGTTTGGGTTTACTAATTAATCTCATACTAAATATAGTGTCTAATTTTTGCAACTAGTATATCACTTTGCTTGATTAATGTAACCTACATCCTTTTAGCGAAAACCCAGCACTTGTGAATATCAAATCAGTGTTATTTTCATGTATTAAGTTGGTCTAGTTGTCGTTTCTTTTTCATCGTAATGGCGAATAACAAGTTTGCAAGAGATGCTTGATTATAGCGCTTCTTATTGTTTATGTATAAATGAAGTAATTTATGCTGAAATCAGCTTCTATCGAGCAAGAAACGTTCTGGAGTTTATTAAATCTGCAGTTCGTCAAGTACTTTGTGAAACATTTTTCCTCCTCATACCTCAGAACTTTCATATTCAGTATGAAGTCAGCAACTGAAAATGTATATAAATGACTAGTTATTATATTCTGGTAATAATCCGGTAATTATGGGAAACGTTCCTCAGAATAATTACTCAAGTGTTGGAGTCAACCTCGATTCTATCGTGTGAGAGCGCACGTTTTACTCTATCAAATTAAGTGAAACGATTCACCATATGTTTACTATATGTGAAGATTTATTCATTCAGGTCAGAAAGAAGTTCTACTGAGAAACTAATGATGAAGAAATAACAATCAGGCAACATGAGACGTTAAAATATGATCTATAGAAGGGAGAAATATATATGGAGTATAAATGATGCTCTTCATAACTTACTTTCATTATAATTTTTACGTACTTTTATAGAAACTGTGTATACTTTTTACTTATTCATCTAATTTAAACTTCGTTATTAAAAGAGGAGTATGGTAAAATGTTAAAACATAAAACAATAAAATACTTTTAAAATTAAGGTGGATGAAAACTTATAATCGATAAATTGTTCAATGGACATAAGGTTATAGAGTAGCATAATATATTTCATAGCTAAGTTCAATACACTCTTAGTTTAAGTTTCATTGAGTTTCAGGCATCAGATGAACTCACTGAGAGTAATCAGAGAGGTAATACAGATTTATGTTTGTCTACCAGCAAGTGATTCTCCATTACCCAATAGTTATGAAAATATTATGTAGTTTGCTTCAGGTGTTGCCATTAACATAATTATTTGTTTAATTTTATTAATGTCGGAAGTCGAATTCTTTCAATATATCAGATTGTACCAATATCATATCGCTAACTGTGCCACGACACATTTGCTGCAAGGTTTTGGTTGATGATGATTGACTGACAAGGTGATCTAATCTAGTTTATTACACCGTCATATAATAATGAAGAGACACATTAATGTGATGACAAACTGGCTGGTGAAATATGTTTGATTTAGGTCGGATACAGAAATATGTTGAATGCAAAGGCGAATATACAGAAGCGATTAGAAAACTGGAAATCATTAGAAACAGACCTGATGTGAGCAGTAGATTTTGTGGGGTGATTTGATTGAGGCATTCAGTGATTTGACCTTCTACTCACTCCAAATCGTTTACTCCTGAATTCACGTTTTCATCATTTGCGTGCTTATCTAAATTCAAGTTTCTTTCTCCAATGTTTTGTGTTTGTGTTTCTGCTTGTCTATCTGCATTGTATGTAACCAAACTCCATGAGTTCCTTTAATGAACATTTTCTTCGTTATCTATTTAAATGTTTCATAGAAGGCAACCTCACGAAAACAGTAGTAATCGGTAAGTCAAAATATGATATAGCAGTTTGTTTGGTCACACCAATTTATTTTCCTTATTGATTGTTTTATTCTGCTTTCCATTTCATTCATCAGTACGGTGGTCACATTGTATTACATAAACGGTTGGGTGAATTGTTCCTCTTGGGAATTCAGTGTAGCGAAGAGATAATGTTTCCAAGTGGAACAATTTAGTTGTATTCGTATAAAAGCTCACAAGTACTGAAATTTACTGTAACTGTGGAAGTCACGTTATGTTTGTTTGCTGAGCGTCACTCCACTCACAATATTGTTACATTTACTAACCAATGTGTGTGGGTAGACATTACTACTTGTTGTGGAATTCTTTATTTTCATAACAAACCAAGAACATATAGCATTCAGTGTGCATGGATGTGGGAAATCAAACAACCATCTACTTCATAGTGTCCATCACTTTGATAGATCATAATTGAATACACTTGGATTTGTGGTGTGGAGTTGAAGAGAGATCGTTCAGTTTTGTTTGTTGTGCAACAGTAAGTCAACCCAATATTCTCCTTTCACTGTGAAGTCGGATTTAAATCAATCAACTTTGACTTGTTGGAAACTATTTAATTTCTTTTGTAGCAGTCTCATCAACGCTGACTAGATTGAACAAGTCTTTGGAGTGGGATGACAGTTTATTGGATCCTAGTTCCGATTTATATCAAAACTATTCAGCTGAAATTTGTGGTTTGGTAAGTTTGTTACCGAGTTCTCAATTGAATTTTCATAAAAATGAGGAAAACTGATGAAATGTATAGACAACCTGTGTCTTTTGATAAAGGGTTGAATTTTGACATTTGAAGACGGTTTTTGGAAATATCTGTAGCTATTTAATAGCTATTTATAGAAGACAGAGTACTATTCAACTGTTTTCTCCAACTGTGACGAATAGTACCTGTAGACATTCAAGGAGTTGTTTGGTTAGATTCCATGATCATTGTTTTATGCAATTATGGATTTAATTCGTAGTGGTTAATGGTGTCCGTTCTTCACCATTTACCATGTAGATCATATCTCGTTTTACTCTACACAAACTGATGCAGTCTCAAAACACTCTATGGTCTCCAATCACTATATTGTTGCAATCAAATATAGGCGAATGTACTTGTTTCGTTTGATTATACATAACATAATTACCAGAAGTGGTCAACATGGACGGGCACGATTCTGTAATGGATCAGTTGTTTTGATATTGTAAGTAGTGACAACTGAGGTTACCCAGTCGATAAATATATTTACTAATCCACGATTTCGGAAAACCAATTCGTTCACCTTCCACGTGAATGTAAAAGTTCGGTGTCGAGTAGAGGGTAGTAGTGTAACCAGTTGGACTGATTATGTCCGCACATATATTTTGGTAAATGTAGCCAGTCACAGATCGCCACTGTCGTACTAGTGGTGGAAGACATATAGGATGAGACTCAACTATTCACACAAACGAGTAAGAGTAAGAACCAGTTTTAACACGTGTTGCATGATGCTGCATGACGCTGTTTGTCAGCACCAATCAGAATATCTAGATTAGGAGTTAAGTGCGACCGACAATCAAAATATTGTGCTATAAAACTCCACCAAACTACTTGTTCGACATTCATACAACAATGATTTATGCCGACGAGTTAATTTCGTCCAACCTAACATGCATGGCACCACGAGGTAGCCTCACTGAGCTAAATGGCAGTATAGCACCATCTGCCTGATGTTATACATTGTGATGTCGTATTAACTATCAACTGCGACGAACTCATTTATTCATTCATTACTGACTATTCCATTGAAAAGGCACTGCTCACATTTCTGCGTCTTGAGATGCTGATTGATTTCATGTGCTAAGGTTACCAATCGGAATTTTAACTGTAATTTCTTTTCCATTCCGTGTTTACTATTTCCTCCATGACCCAATGTCCAAGCAATAACCAACCACAGGTCTGACCCTCACAGTCCACCTTATGGCGATGCAAGCCAAGCTCCTATTTTTCCGCTACTCGTAAGTCCTTCTTTGCCTTCAAACTTGAGTCAGAGAGAGAAGTCAACAGACAGCCTCTATACTGATTGAAAAGTCACAAGCATACATAGACAAGCCGAAAGTGTTTGTGAATAATGCAAGCCGTAAGTAGTAGACTGGCAACAATCTGGGAGTGGAGAGTTGTCTATCAGTGGTTAACAGGTTAACCAAAAGCTTGTGGTTAACGTATTATATAGACACAGTAATCCAGTTGTTTATTAATTATGCAAGAAAAACATAATTGATAGCAATAATAATATTCATGATAACAATTCGAAAACCACTTTTAAAATTTCCAACTTTTACAATATTCATCCTGTTATAACACGCACGATTTTCTTCTCACAAAATTTTCAAGCTTTTGGACAGCATATATTCAACTTACATTGAGGGAATAATCAATGTTAATTGCACAGTTGTTGGCTTCTCACGTGGATCAGTTGTTGGAAATGCAGTATTAGTCATCGACCATAGTAGCACAAGTGGGAATTTTTCATCGACTGAAGTGACAAAAGACACTGTTCGCAATGCTGTTGTGGCACACATAGCAGAACTGATTGCCAAAGGTTCGGAGCAAGTGTACTTCGGTACATCAAGTGGCTTGACAGTAGAAAGTGAGTGCATGTGATATTTTCGAGCTATATTGAAATTGAATTTTGTGTTTAACGTCGGTTGAACAAACCAGTTTATCCTGCGAGTTGAACTCCACTTTCTCGATACATCTTGGAGGTTGATGATGGGGGAATCCGACACCGGAAGCGAACTTTGTAGGATTCAACTGATTATTTCCCACGTTAAATATCGCCTGCACAACAATGAGCATGCATGTATGATGTGATCATCTATTGGATGCTCTTAATTTTAGTTCATGAAACTGTTTGGTCCAATTTCAAATTTGTTGTTCCAGAGAGACAATAGAAATCTGTTTTATCCTCAGTCACTTGTATAGGACATTTCTATATATGCTGTTTGGTATAGAATTCCGTTTACATTTTAATGAGTCTTACAGTTGGTGAGATCACAACGTGCGACGAAATGGAACGTTCAGTGTTCGATCAACGAGGAAATGGAATTGTTCACAAGTTTGAAAAACAACTCCATCACCTGCAAACCATCTGCAGCGAAAGTGTCTCGACTTCATTTACTGTCAAATACTTAGTCGCCTGCTATGGCTAGCAGCTAATCATAATCAGGATTAATTGTCATATATACTCAGTTTTTTGTGACGTGAATAGATACACGTTTCTCATTGTATTTTTAGCTGTAATCCATGGGGCAACCACTGAGGTGATCACTGAATCTCAGAATACTGAAGATAACAAGACTACGGGTAAGTAAGTGGTTTGCAATTTTTTCACTGAGTCGACAATATACGTGAGAACTTATGTCTTATGATTGCAAACTGTACGAGTAAAATACTGTGAATATTCACTTTAGTGAATTGATTCTTTGACCAGTAGTTTTGACTGCAGTATTATTGAGATAATCTTCCTCAGATAAAAGAATATGGAGTGACAATAAATTAGTTAGAAAAATCCAAAATATTATATATCAGTATTGGCGACAATGCAGAAATGTTTGAAGTATGTGTAAGGCCCCCATATGACATAAAATTAAAGATGTCACGAGTAATCAGGGTGTCGGAATGTAAGGCAGTACATTTAAAAAAGCAGATAAATCGAATAGTTATATTAAGAACGAATTAAGATGATGTGTATGTATGAAAACACGTAGTGAAAACAGCGAGTTATGCTTCACGTGGAAGAAATTAAAAAACGCTAAATAACTTCAATTAGATAAACGACTTTTCAGTCAGTAATGGAAATTCACCCATAATCAAGTTTGCGTTCCTCATTATCTGCTTTTATGTCGAAAGTACAAGGAGATTGCTTCAAACGTAAAATCAGAAATAGTGAGGATCAACAATCAAAGAATAAACAGAAATAGTAAATAGTAGAACAATCGATGAACTGACGAAACATCAGTTGAGAAGAAAAATGCGACTGTGTGATTTATATGTAAGGAAGAAACTGTAGATAGAAACATCGAGAGAAAATGAAGATCGATAAATCGCCGAATTACTTCGAAAACGCTTACAAACCTGGAGGAGAATAGAAGTGTAATGAATTCAAAGAAACAAAAATTTGAGAAAACATAGAAAGAAGAAAAACGCGGACAGAAAAGAAAGAAAAATAACAACAAAATGGAGAACGGAAACAAGTAAAAGAGCGAAAGGTAGACGAAAATAAATAAAGTGAAGTTAAATAAATAAGCGAAGTGAAGTGTGTAGATATTCAAAAATATGTTTATTGAGAGAGAAAATATATGAATAACACGATGATTGATTGACAGATCGTTTGATTGATTGATTGATTGGTGGAATAATCGAATAATTATTGGTGTTGGATTTCGTCCATTGTAGCTGAGACCACTACTGGCACGAAGGAAGTGACGACCGAGACCGAGATTACGGAGACCGACACTACGCAAACTGAGGTTATGCAGACGGAGAGTACAACAGGTGAGTGTGTTAGTTGATTGTGTGTATGCAATGTACGCAGTGTTGTTTGTGTGAGATGTGTTTGAGTTAGTTGTGCACAGGACTGATACTACTGGTGATTTGGTGAATTGCATGTAGTGCACTCGATTGGATGGATGTGAACCCGAGTGTGTGTATGTATGTTTGTGTGTGTTTGAGTATATGTGTGTTTGTGAGTTACCTTGCATGTGTGTGTTTCGGTGAGTGATTTGAAGTGGTTGAATGTGAGTGGGTGAGTGTGCGTGTGTGTGTGTGCAGGTGCGTGTGGGTGTGGGTGTTTGTGTGTAAGGTGGAAGAGTGTAGTGGATGTGAGCACTAGATAGTGTGTGCATGTTGTTTGATGAAGTGATTGGATTGAGACGATGATTGAATGAATGTTGCTGGTGGTCACATCTTCCTGTGACATGTGAGTCACCCGACACACTGTGTGAGTGTTGTGTGGTCCGTGAGCATGTGGTGGATTGGTGCGACAGACAGTGAGGTGATTCGATCAATTCTATTCTCCACATTCCGTTGCACATCAGTCGACCTGAAGAGATCCACGTGACACAAACATGATGGCCAAAACACAAACAGAATGAGAAACAGAAAGAGATGCACACACGCACACACGCCCACACTGTGGTCTTCACTTCACTGCACGAATAGACGTGTATATGTTTGTGTGTGTTTGTGTATGTGAGTGTGTCTGTGGTTGACTGTGTGTGTGAGTGATTGATTGATAGGGTGATGAAGAGAGTGAGATGTTGATTGAGTTTGTGTGTGTGTGTGCGTTTGTGAATGACAATATGCGTTTTGTTGACTTAGTTGTTAGACGACTGGATTGATTTGTTGATGATGGAGAGAATGCTTGAGAGACTGATTGGCTGAATGTTTTGATGAGTGGTTGTGCGAGTGTTTGTACGAGTGGTTGTCGGAGTGGTTGGATGAATGTTTGGATGGTTGATTGATTGATTGCCTGATGATTTGATGGATTGATTGATTGATGGATTGATTGATTGATGGTTTGATGGATTGATTGATTGGTGGAATAATCGAATAATTATTGGTGTTGGATTTCGTCCATTGTAGCTGAGACCACTACTGGCACGAAGGAAGTGACGACCGAGACCGAGATTACGGAGACCGACACTACGCAAACTGAGGTTATGCAGACGGAGAGTACAACAGGTGAGTGTGTTAGTTGATTGTGTGTATGCAATGTACGCAGTGTTGTTTGTGTGAGATGTGTTTGAGTTAGTTGTGCATGCGACTTAAACTCTTTTTATTTTTTACTACATTTTTGTACTTGGACTTCGTTGTATATGTTTATTTGTTGCTTTTTTAAGGGTTGTCTTTTGCCACTTCATTTCCTCCGGTTATTTTTTTTTTATTTTTTATGTGTATAAGATTAAATTTTTAATGATTCACGAAATTAAGATCTTTACATGGTAGAAATCAGTACCTGGCTACTGAAATAAATAATATCAAACTCAAATGATGCAAATCAGTTGTCATTCTAATTCTAAGATACAAATCCTTTTTGTTGAAAGCTAGATTACTCGACTCGTAGATGAAGAAAAGCAATGCAGGTTGCATGATGAAAAAATTTATACGTTTAATTACTCAACAATACCTAATCATTAGATTTCAACATGTCATTATTACTTCTCCTATATTACTGAATTCAATAGTCAACCATTTAATTAAATTTTGCGATCTCATTTGGATAAATTTTGAGTTATTAAAAATAACTAAGTGCCAACAAAGTTTAAACTATGACTCGTTGAAAAAGACTGGATTTCTATATAGAAATAAATCATTACGACATAAAATAAAGAAAGTAAGTAGTCTGAACGCATTCAGATCTGAAATAACATCAACTAAAACTTACTTACTTACTTACTTACTTACTTACTTACTTACTAACTCACGCCTGTTACCCGTCGTGGAGGAGCATAGTCCGCCCATAAGTACTCCCTATCTAACCTTGTCCTGGGCAATCCTTTCCAGCTCTTTCCAACCGTTATTCATCCTTTTCATATCTGTTTCTATTTCTCGACGTAATGTGATTTTTGGCCTTCTTATTTCTCGCTTCAACTTCATGATTCCAACATCAAATATATATTCAAAAATAATAACCATGATAACAATAAAAAATAAATACGCTTAAGAACATGAACGTAAACTTATCAGAAGATATAAAGAGAATAAGTGAGAAGTTAAAATAAAGAAGACAACGGCAATGAAAATATCGACAATGAAGGAAATAGCAAAGAAAGTAATGAAATTCATTCAAAGTGAAGTGGTGTACACAATCAATAGCATATTAGATATTGATTAAATATTGATTTTAAAAAATGAAAGAATAAAAATCTACAAAATCGCTAAAATTAACTCAATAACAGAATGTTGTTAAACTTCAAAAAAGGAAGAACAAAAACGAAAGGAGAATAGGAAAACTGTTCCGAAAAAGAAGGAAGAAAACAAAACAAAACGGAACAATCAAACACAAATTGATGAAGCAATCGAGAAGAAAAAACACACTGAAAGAAATAGTGCAAAAAGGAATGAGCGAAATGAAATTTAAAGTCGAAAATCTTCAATAAAACAAGGAGAACAATTATCGAAACCAAGATGGATACCGATACCACCACAACGATAACGATCTTCACAACATCCACTATTTCCACACTTACGTTCGTCCAATATTGATTTGACCAGTGCAGTCGAATCGACCACACCTTTCATTGGGTCCACAATATCAAAGGAGATCATCTTCATCGCTGATCAACATATTCCAAGTATGCTGTAACTTGTCATTCCATCTGTTTTTGTATTTACGTTCACGCCTACAATGCACAATTTTTATTCTACTGACGTGATTCATGGTTCCTTTCTTGGGACTTTTCATACATATTTATTTGCTGACTCCGACATTTTCTCGCCGCTTTATTTTGATGTCTCATCAGTTGATGATTCCTCATTTTCGAGCTCTGATTTTTCCTATCTCATGCTTAGAGAGTTTCTAGTATAATTGTTATACCTACTATTAACATTGCTAGACCTTTGATTAATGATTTCATTTTGTTTATTTTTCAGGCAATGTTCTTTCATATGATTCAGGTATGTTTAATGTTTTTGCTAGTTTGGTTTTCAGTCTAAATCTCCTTTATATTTTCACAGAATATCTTTTTACTTCACTTTGATCATTTCTACCATTCTCGATAATTTGTTTGGGTTTACTAATTAATCTCATACTAAATATAGTGTCTAATTTTTGCAACTAGTATATCACTTTGCTTGATTAATGTAACCTACATCCTTTTAGCGAAAACCCAGCACTTGTGAATATCAAATCAGTGTTATTTTCATGTATTAAGTTGGTCTAGTTGTCGTTTCTTTCTCATCTTAATGGCAAATAACAAGTTTGCAAGAGATGCTTGATTATAGCGCTTCTTATTGTTTATGTATAAATGAAGTAGTTTATGCTGAAATCAGCTTCTATCGAGCAAGAAACGTTCTGGAGTTTATTAAATCTGCAGTTCGTCAAGTACTTTGTGAAACATTTTTCCTCCTCATACCTCAGAACTTTCATATTCAGTATGAAGTCAGCAACTGAAAATGTATATAAATGATTAGTTAGTTTACTATATGTGAAGATTTATTCATTCAGGTCAGAAAGAAGTTCTACTGAGAAACTAATGATGAAGAAATAACAATCAGGCAACATGAGACGTTAAAATATGATCTATAGAAGGGAGAAATATATATGGAGTATAAATGATGCTCTTCATAACTTACTTTCATTATAATTTTTACGTACTTTTATAGAAACTGTGTATACTTTTTACTTATTCATCTAATTTAAACTTCGTTATTAAAAGAGGAGTATGGTAAAATGTTAAAACATAAAACAATAAAATACTTTTAAAATTAAGGTGGATGAAAACTTATAATCGATAAATTGTTCAATGGACATAAGGTTATAGAGTAGCATAATATATTTCATAGCTAAGTTCAATACACTCTTAGTTTAAGTTTCATTGAGTTTCAGGCATCAGATGAACTCACTGAGAGTAATCAGAGAGGTAATACAGATTTATGTTTGTCTACCAGCAAGTGATTCTCCATTACCCAATAGTTATGAAAATATTATGTAGTTTGCTTCAGGTGTTGCCATTAACATAATTATTTGTTTAATTTTATTAATGTCGGAAGTCGAATTCTTTCAATATATCAGATTGTACCAATATCATATCGCTAATTGTGCCACGACACATTTGCTGCAAGGTTTTGGTTGATGATGATTGACTGACAAGGTGATCTAATCTAGTTTATTACACCGTCATATAATAATGAAGAGACACATTAATGTGATGACAAACTGGCTGGTGAAATATGTTTGATTTAGGTCGGATACAGAAATATGTTGAATGCAAAGGCGAATATACAGAAGCGATTAGAAAACTGGAAATCATTAGAAACAGACCTGATGTGAGCAGTAGATTTTGTGGGGTGATTTGATTGAGGCATTCAGTGATTTGACCTTCTACTCACTCCAAATCGTTTACTCCTGAATTCACGTTTTCATCATTTGCGTGCTTATCTAAATTCAAGTTTCTTTCTCCAATGTTTTGTGTTTGTGTTTCTGCTTGTCTATCTGCATTGTATGTAACCAAACTCCATGAGTTCCTTTAATGAACATTTTCTTCGTTATCTATTTAAATGTTTCATAGAAGGCAACCTCACGAAAACAGTAGTAATCGGTAAGTCAAAATATGATATAGCAGTTTGTTTGGTCACACCAATTTATTTTCCTTATTGATTGTTTTAATTCTGCTTTCCATTTCATTCATCAGTACGGTGGTCACATTGTATTACATAAACGGTTGGGTGAATTGTTCCTCTTGGGAATTCAGTGTAGCGAAGAGATAATGTTTCCAAGTGGGACAATTTAGTTGTATTCGTATAAAAGCTCACAAGTACTGAAATTTACTGTAACTGTGGAAGTCACGTTATGTTTGTTTGCTGAGCGTCACTCCACTCACAATATTGTTACATTTACTAACCAATGTGTGTGGGTAGACATTACTACTTGTTGTGGAATTCTTTATTTTCATAACAAACCAAGAACATATAGCATTCAGTGTGCATGGATGTGGGAAATCAAACAACCATCTACTTCATAGTGTCCATCACTTTGATAGATCATAATTGAATACACTTGGATTTGTGGTGTGGAGTTGAAGAGAGATCGTTCAGTTTTGTTTTGTTGTGCAACAATAAGTCAACCCAATATTCTCCTTTCACTGTGAAGTCGGATTTAAATCAATCAACTTTGACTTGTTGGAAACTATTTAATTTCTTTTGTAGCAGTCTCATCAACGCTGACTAGATTGAACAAGTCTTTGGAGTGGGATGACAGTTTATTGGATCCTAGTTCCGATTTATATCAAAACTATTCAGCTGAAATTTGTGGTTTGGTAAGTTTGTTACCGAGTTCTCAATTGAATTTTCATAAAAATGAGGAAAACTGATGAAATGTATAGACAACCTGTGTCTTTTGATAAAGGGTTGAATTTTGACATTTGAAGACGGTTTTTGGAAATATCTGTAGCTATTTAATAGCTATTTATAGAAGACAGAGTACTATTCAACTGTTTTCTCCAACTGTGACGAATAGTACCTGTAGACATTCAAGGAGTTGTTTGGTTAGATTCCATGATCATTGTTTTATGCAATTATGGATTTAATTCGTAGTGGTTAATGGTGTCCGTTCTTCACCATTTACCATGTAGATCATATCTCGTTTTACTCTACACAAACTGATGCAGTCTCAAAACACTCTATGGTCTCCAATCACTATATTGTTGCAATCAAATATAGGCGAATGTACTTGTTTCGTTTGATTATACATAACATAATTACCAGAAGTGGTCAACATGGACGGGCACGATTCTGTAATGGATCAGTTGTTTTGATATTGTAAGTAGTGACAACTGAGGTTACCCAGTCGATAAATATATTTACTAATCCACGATTTTGGAAAACCAATTCGTTCACCTTCCACGTGAATGTAAAAGTTCGGTGTCGAGTAGAGGGTAGTAGTGTAACCAGTTGGACTGATTATGTCCGCACATATATTTTGGTAAATGTAGCCAGTCACAGATCGCCACTGTCGTACTAGTGGTGGAAGACATATAGGATGAGACTCAACTATTCACACAAACGAGTAAGAGTAAGAACCAGTTTTAACACGTGTTGCATGATGCTGCATGACGCTGTTTGTCAGCACCAATCAGAATATCTAGATTAGGAGTTAAGTGCGACCGACAATCAAAATATTGTGCTATAAAACTCCACCAAACTACTTGTTCGACATTCATACAACAATGATTTATGCCGACGAGCTAATTTCGTCTAACCTAACATGCATGGCACCACGAGGTAGCCTCACTGAGCTAAATGGCAGTATAGCACCATCTGCCTAATGTTATACATTGTGATGTCGTATTAACTATCAACTGCGACGAACTCATTTATTCATTCATTACTGACTATTCCATTGAAAAGGCACTGCTCACATTTCTGCGTCTTGAGATGCTGATTGATTTCATGTGCTAAGGTTACCAATCGGAATTCTAACTGTAATTTCTTTTCCATTCCGTGTTTACTATTTCCTCCATGACCCAGTGTCCAAGCAATAACCAACCACAGGTCTGACCCTCACAGTCCACCTTATGGCGATGCAAGCCAAGCTCCTATTTTTCCGCTACTCGTAAGTCCTTCTTTGCCTTCAAACTTGAGTCAGAGAGAGAAATCAACAGACAGCCTCTATACTGATTGAAAAGTCACAAGCATACATAGACAAGCCGAAAGTGTTTGTGAATAATGCAAGCCGTAAGTAGTAGACTGGCAACAATCTGGGAGTGGAGAGTTGTCTATCAGTGGTTAACAGGTTAACCAAAAGCTTGTGGTTAACGTATTATATAGACACAGTAATCCAGTTGTTTATTAATTATGCAAGAAAAACATAATTGATAGCAATAATAATATTCATGATAACAATTCGAAAACCACTTTTAAAATTTCCAACTTTTACAATATTCATCCTATTATAACACGCACGATTTTCTTCTCACAAAATTTTCAAGCTTTTGGACAGCATATATTCAACTAACATTGAGGGAATAATCAATGTTAATTGCACAGTTGTTGGCTTCTCACGTGGATCAGTTGTTGGAAATGCAGTATTAGTCATCGACCATAGTAGCACAAGTGGGAATTTTTCATCGACTGAAGTGACAAAAGACACTGTTCGCAATGCTGTTGTAGCACACATAGCAGAAATGGTTGCCAATGGTTCGGAGCAAGTGTACTTCGGTACATCAAGTGGCTTGACAGTAGAAAGTGAGTGCATGTGATATTTTCGAGCTATATTGAAATTGAATTTTGTGTTTAACGTCGGTTGAACAAACCAGTTTATCCTGCGAGTTGAACTCCACTTTCTCGATACATCTTGGAGGTTGATGATGGGGGAATCCGACACCGGAAGCGAACTTTGTAGGATTCAACTGATTATTTCCCACGTTAAATATCGCCTGCACAACAATGAGCATGCATGTATGATGTGATCATCTATTGGATGCTCTTAATTTTAGTTCATGAAACTGTTTGGTCCAATTTCAAATTTGTTGTTCCAGAGAGACAATAGAAATCTGTTTTATCCTCAGTCACTTGTATAGGACATTTCTATATATGCTGTTTGGTATAGAATTCCGTTTACATTTTAATGAGTCTTACAGTTGGTGAGATCACAACGTGCGACGAAATGGAACGTTCAGTGTTCGATCAACGAGGAAATGGAATTGTTCACAAGTTTGAAAAACAACTCCATCACCTGCAAACCATCTGCAGCGAAAGTGTCTCGACTTCATTTACTGTCAAATACTTAGTCGCCTGCTATGGCTAGCAGCTAATCATAATCAGGATTAATTGTCATATATACTCAGTTTTTGTGAGGTGAATAGATACACGTTTCTCATTGTATTTTCAGCTGTAATCCATGGGGCAACCACTGAGGGGATCACTGAATCTCAGAATACTGAAGATAACAAGACTATGGGTAAGTAAGTGGTTTGCAATTTTTTCACTGAGTCGACAATATACGTGAGAACTTATGTCTTATGATTGCAAACTGTACGAGTAAAATACTGTGAATATTCACTTTAGTGAATTGATTCTTTGACCAGTAGATTTGACTGCGGTATTATTGAGACAATCTTCCTCAGATAAAAGAATATGGAGTGACAATAAATTAGTTAGAAAAATCCAAAATATTATATATCAGTATTGGCGACAATGCAGAAATGTTTGAAGTATGTGTAAGGCCCCCATATGACATAAAATCAAAGATGTCACGAATAATCAGTGTGTGTGTTTCCGTGAGTGTTTTGAAGTGGTTGAATTTGAGTGAGTTTATGTGTGAGGTGGATGGGTGTAGTGGATGTGAGCACTAGTTAGTGTGTGCATGTTGTTTGATGAATTGACTGGATTGAGACGCTGATTGAATGACTGTTGCTGGTGGTCACATCTTCCTATGACATGTGAGTCACACGACACACTGTGTGATTGTTGTGTGGTCTGTGAGCATGTCATGGATTAGTGCGAAAAACAATTTGATGTTTTTGAAGTCTTTCATTTTGTTTAGGAATACCCCGTTGAATACTCTTCCTGGTAATTAGCGAAGGGTGATGCTTCTGTAATTCTCACGCTTCCTGAGTTCTCTTTTCTTTGTTATCTTGATGAGATGTCCTACATCACTATTTTTAGAGTTGTTTTATTTTTAATGTGTAGTAAATTCCGCAAGCGTACAGAAAGCAAGTACACAGGGAAACAAGTAAGTGGTAAAAGTTCACATATATTTTTGAATGTTAATTGATTATGAATAGATTATTCATTGTCTTCGTTTACAACCAATGAGAGAATAAATCAAGATTGATGACCAGACATTTTCTCATTCAGACTCACACAAAATTTTATATAGTGGGTTAAATGTCTAAATTACTGCGAGTAGACAAGTAATAGAGTAGTTGATTAGGCTTACTACAATAGTATTTAAGTAATTTCAATATCACTACATTAAATAAAATCCTTTACAAAAAATTATATTGACTATGTTCAAATTATCATGATTTATTATTATTGTAAAATATGTATTCATATTGTTTTTCAGAGACAACTGAAATAAGCAAAACGACTTTCAGTAAGAAAAGTGAGTTGGTTTTTTTCATTGTTTATACTTTAAATATTATGTGTATGTCAAAACTTTTAATTCGTCTTGTACTGACAGATTAATATCGAAATTTTTAAAATGATGATTTCTTATTTACGTCGACATCATTTCACAATATTCATTTTATCAAATTATACTACTAAACTAAGCATAAACTTTATAACATTATCAGTTAAATAGAATCAGATTTCATATTCACCTCATAATATTATGATTATTTCCCACAACTATTAACCATTTGCATACAATTGGTCAGCAGATATTTTTATTAGTATCAATTGTGGTCATAAATTCTACTCAGCCATTTTTCAGCCAAATGACGGGAATTCCCTGAGAGTCTGTTACCAAGATTCCTTACTATTTAAGAAGTTGAAAGGAGAATGAGAAAAGTTTTATGAAAAGAATGGTTAAGTCGGATGATCTCAAGTGATTTATTTAGTTGATAAATTATAAAATAATAGGCTTAGATTAGATATCTGTCCAAAACTAAGATTGTTTCGAAGACACTGGTTAATTGGAAATTATTCAAAACTTTTGTGATGTTTGATAATTTATCGATAACTTATCTTATTCGATCGATGGCACATCAAGCTTCCTTTGTTATCTGTCTATTTCACTCTTGTTAATAACATTTCACCATAGGTTTACTAAAGGTGATCATTTAGTATTACAGGATACTAAATAGATCACAGTGTTCGGTACCGGACGATAGATCTAAAACTTTATCCAGAAATTTTACTGATATATTACCTACTTCATGAACCAACATCTTCAATGAATGTTACTTCAAAATGTATCATCTATGTAAGAAGAGATTAAGATAATTTTAACATTTAAATTGTTGTCTAACGTAAAAGTTTAAGCTATGATTTATGAAAATAATATTAACCTTTTTTTAAAACAAACAATTATTACAATTTATGCTTTAAATTTCGTTAAACCAGTAATAATATAAACATTCAAGTTGTTTAAGTGCTACAACTGATCTTGAATCATAAATGTAACATTCAGTTCTTTTTCTTAAAATGTTAAGAATGTTTAATAAACTTCTTAAGAATACACTCATTTTAATGCCTGCAAACACCAATTAACCTGAAGATAAATTTTTAAATAAATTATACATCTTTAGTTTTACTGCATTAAATTTAATTATACATCTTAAAGTGTGATCAATATCATTTTAGATATACTAGAACTATCAATGACAGTGGAGATTTTAATAGGAAATCAACAAACAAATTGGAATTCCGAACTATCTAACAAATTTTCTGAACTTTACAATAGTACTGCTGAAAAAACCTGTGCTTTGGTATGCAATCATGTCGTTTAGAATGAATTGTTGATTTATTAAATTTATTCATTGAATATGATCATTGTTTTGCATTACATAATATTAACAAACCAATTATCAGTTTTGTCCTCATTAATTAAGCTTATTTTTAAAGCAACTAATATGATGATGCAATACAACATTTAACGAATTTCACAACTAGTACTCAGTTTCGATAATAGGCTGGTTGATTTTTATCTGATGTTTTATAGACTAAGTGGAGTTTACAATTATATGTCTGTAGAATATGAAGGATAACGTGTTTATAATTTATCTCAGCAATATGATTGTTTGCCAGACTGGTAACCATTTGTATTAAGGAAGGTTAATCGCAACTTCATAGACATTTTTAAACAGGTTAAGAGACCATACCATTTCGATTACTTTTCTTCATAAACATTTTAGTCCTGGAAATGAAGCAAATAACTACGAAATTAAAAATTGGTTTGTCAGTATGTGAACAGAACAGAGGCAGTTTACTAGAAAATATTGAAATTTATTTTATGTTCGTCTATTTTAGAACTGTATGTTTGACTGGTTTTTTCTGAGGCCAACAGACCATTCGTAAATCCTAATAGATTACATACTTATTCTCAAGATGCAAATATGCTGTTCTCATGATTGATAAAATAAGCCTGTTTTGGTTCAAATAAAGTTAGGAATGTATTCGTTGAATTTTAAGGAAAATTAATACCTTATCCAGTTTCATCTGTTAACATTGTTACTGAAGAAGAGCCAAGTAGTTTACAATACGAACAGTGAAAACACAAATATACTTTATAAAGAATGTAATAAGCCTACTTATTGAGCTGATTTAAAATCCTACATTTTTATTGAACTTGTTTCCAAGATTGCTTGACAATCCTCCATTATAAAGGTCAGTGTATATGAGACTTTAAAAATGAGTGTTTAAAAGGTCTACACAGTTATTTTCAAAAGCAAGGGATCACGATATTATTTGGTACAATAACCAACTTATTTTTCTTTTCATATTCACAAGACTTTTGGAAACGGATGAATTCAGTCTTTTTACTGATATATGTTTGAATTTGTTTCAGAAATAAAATAAAAATATAAATTTATTACAGGGTCATATATATATATATATATATATATATATATATATATATATATATATATATATATATATATATATATATATATATATATATACAGGGGTTTTACATAAAGTAAGCGGTTACCAATATATTTTAATTGCCAACGATGACTGTGGAGCTAAGTTAACAACATGATGTTAAACGAGCCGAAAATGCTTACATAATAAATAAATTCTCTTCGTCTCTTCAGTGACTAACTTATTGTAATGTATTTGTAATAATTTTCAAGCATTAATGATGGATATACTTATGCAAAATCCATAGATGACAAATTCAATAAGAATCAAGTTCATCTTAATAGCATTCTTCTTCACCTCACGAGTACACGGACATGGAGACCACGATCTTTCTAGCAGATTCAGTTGGCAAATATCATTTCAATAACTATTGATTTTACAATTAAACATTGTGATCGACAAACAATCTCTTGATCGTAATTTTGATTCTCGATTTATCAAAATGGTATTGAATATCAGATTGTCTAAAACATACATACTTCAAATACTTTTATATTCGAATTTTTATGTGTAATCTATTATTAACATGATTTGTCGACAGAATGTATATGAAGCAAAATAGGATACATAGATTTCATTAGCATTATTATTATATTAGGCAACAGACATTAAATATTTACTGTATCCTTCTACTTGTAAATTCTTCTTTGACGTACATTCATAAAAGAATTTATTTCAACGCAACATATCACATAAATCTCCATCAATTTGATTTATTATGCTTTCATCTGATATTTTTTTGCAGATAAAAGCCAGCCCTCAATATATCACGTCAATACAATTCACCATACCTACTTGTACTGTTCTTCGTTTTTATCCGGGTTCTGTGAAATCTGATGTACAGATAATTGTAGAATACATAGATAACCTCAATGTGACTCAAACACAAATTCTTCAAGCAATTCAGTCGGGTTCGCAATTATACTTAATAGATCTGTTAAAAAATCAGTCAATCGATTCCAAGAGTATAATATCATTTAAGTGTATGTTTATATCGTTAAAAATTCATTATGTATAGAAAATACTAATATATATATATATCCTCCTTATCCACCAACTCGGTTAAAGCACAGGACATTCGGTTTTCGTTCTCTAAACACCCCCGCTAAAAAGGAACATTCGTTTTTAACACCATTTTTCTTCCCTTGATGAAATCGCTGTATGTAGCATAATATGTATTAGTTTTGTGCTTCATCATTTCCTGTTTAAAATGTAGCAATTCTGATGAAAGCACATACAGATATTAGTGTTTTACGTAAAAAGATTATTATCGTTGCTCCTAAAAGTTTACGTATTCAAGCAAATAGAACGAAAAGTCATCATTCCTCTTAAATATCAATTCGGCAACTCATTGGTATTTTGTTTGTTTCAAACTCCAGAATTTAAATTTACTCCTGTAAGAGGCTATAGTTGAGGATTTTTGAAAAGTCATGTAGTAAGATGAAATAATTGTCAAATGCTGTATGATTTTAATTGCTTTTATATCCATTGAAGTGATCACAAATAAATTTAATAATAATACTACTAAGACTTGAAGAAATATTACTTATATCCTTATGAACACTGTTTAAAAGTATAACATTTTATTCGAGACGTATTAAATGTATTTATATTTTATTTATTTATTAAAACACATAAACATTGGTACTAGGAGACACCAAACAGATATGTGCTACATAAATCATTCGATTTTTCTGAGGGCTGGACTGTTGCCCAGGTGCCCAAACCGAAGCAGGTGGTTTTTTTAGAGAGCTACAACCCAAGCCTTCGACCTGAAGGTCTAATCCACAAGGCAGTGAAGCAACGTAAGGGGATGCAATCCCATGATAGGCGGCGACCAGTAACTGGTCCATACGCCTTTTTTGGGATCCTGGAGCCCATATACACCATTGGTTTGGAATCAGGGTTTTCCAACTCCCCTAGGTGGATCCTCCATGTCCACTAACTCGGTTAAAGCGCCGGACATTCGCTCTTCATCTTCTCAATTTCGTAAACAACACCCGCCATGAGAAGGCAGTGAGTAGGACTTCCCTGACAGTGGTTGTATGCACGTAGCCACTTGAGAGCATTTCGAGAAAGAGAACTGACTCTCTCCACTGTTGGCCGTACCAGGGCATTTTGGAGCCCTGGAACTAATTAGGGAAGAATGATTTCTGCTTATTTTATAAAAAAAACTAACATCTTCAGTAATAAGTGTAAAGACTAAACTTAGATATATAAATAGACTATTCGGTATAAACCTTGTAGTTTATTGTTCTCTTCTATACATATAAAAGGACTACTAAAATGCTAATAATTAACTACTAGAGAATTCATATACGTGAAAATTGGAAAATGGTCAATTTCCATCCTATATTCATTTTCATGAACATTAATTATCATGGCGTTAAATATTGTAATATAATATGGGACTACTAAGCAATGCTCATCCATGATCTCGCAAGCGAGATTAGATTGGTTGAAGCTAGACAGTAACACCGTTGGATGGTGGCTTGATGGTATAGAGACTAAGCATTCACGCGCGAGACCGAAGGTCCTGGGTTCTAATACCGCGTGCGGGTTCGTGGATGCGCACTGCTAAAAAGTCCTATACTATGATGATGTGGCCATTCAGTGCTTCCAGATTTTCAATGGTGCTCTAATATACTTAGTTATTTCTCAGTCGTACGTTATTTGCACTCCTAATGTAATTGTCTTTCTCAGTCCCATTAATTATTTTGATATGATTAATTGGCGTGACTGTAATTTTGGGATGAACAAATCAGAATTAGGATATCAGTTTTTGGATTTCGGTGCAAAATCTATTCATCCATTTAGCTAAATAGTGTCTTATCAGTTCATGATGGAAACCTTGAATCTAATTTCTAACCGTAACCATCAACTTTAAATCAAAATTCTAATTCCTCACACTGGTTTATAACCATCATTTGGTTCTAATTAGTAGGTGGACATTCTGAAGGTCACTTTAGCGTCTCTCAAAGGTCGTTCATAAATTATAGTCTCACAGATTGGTTACTAACATTTATTCATATATATTTTTCGTAATATTTCTGGAGTACTTACCTATTTGTTGTAATATGTAAGATCATTAAAACTGAGTCGGCAACTCACTAAATTATTTGGCTGTCAAGTCAATACACACAGTAGCACGATTGATCAATACACCAATTCACATAACACACGACTTACGCTACCTGCAAAATTTGTACAATATACGCGTATATGAAATATATAATTCCTATATATTGTGTAACTAGTTTTTATTTATTTATTTATTTGGACACATGAATATTGGTACAAGAGAGCGCGTATATATATGTAACTAGTTAACCATCTTTATTAACTAATATCGATCCATTGTTCTTTATTAATCTGTTTAGTAATTATGCAAAAAGAAACTTGTAGTACGATCGCATCAAAATGTTCACCACATGCTCAATGCATCGAAAGATCTGACGGTGCCGTTTGTGTATGTAATCCAATGTGGGTAGATTTAAACATGCAACAGCCCGGAGAACAGTGTATAAGTACGTTTATTTACGTAATACATAGCCTTTCACCTTACCCTCTTCCTAAAATAAAATTATGGTGACAATTAGCATCACTTTAAATTCAAAACTGCAAAGTAAAATATCTGAATATAACACTGCTCACGCTAAATGATTTATAAGTAGTCAATGACAGTACGTGTTTCAGTTTTGAGTTCAAGTTCCCTTGTACTTGATTGTAAAAATCTAATATGAGATAACAGTAAATTGAAAAGTCAAAATGCTTATTCTTGTAGTGACACAGTAAATTGTCCATCAGAATCCGGCCGACAATTATGAATCATTATTCACACATTAGTAAACAATCGATGACCAAGCAATGTACACATACAGACTTTGCAAAAGATTGATCACGATACGAATAACTTTTTTCTAGAGTATGTGACTGGAGTAGTATGTGTAAAGGTGTCACGGACATTTATGATGTACTGAATTCAGATAACTATATTTCGAATCCATGGTTGGTTAGAGGAATGTTTCTGTATATTTATAAGTTTTGAACAAAATTACCGTTATATACGAAACAGGTTATTGATCTACAAAACCTGAATTTAAATTACAACTCACCCCAAACATCTACTTCATGAAGTACTAGATATTCGTTTAATTGTATCCTAAATTTATAATAATCACCCATAATATCAATAATGCGTGTAAAAAATTACTCAGTAAAGTCTCACAATTAAATTCAAGGTAATTTATGAATTATTTGCTAAATAATTCATTTGTTTGAATCTTCCCATTGACGTTTAGGACTGTAATGATCAACAAATATATCCAGCTGAGTCCCAAATAGAACAAAAAATGCATCCTGGTTCCCACTGATAACCACCATTCAACTCTACTTATAATAGTTAGCAAATATCTTAACACTTATCAGCTCATTAGAAATGCATTGAGTAGAAAAAATCCTTTTGTGCAATATTTGTAATGAAAATAATAATAGTAAATCCCTGATAAACCTATTTTTAAAAGGAATCCAATAATCTAGAAACATTGTTGGCATATTTACTAGTTGATTTATTCAACAAGATGTGTTACAACATCATTGTGTTATTTTAATAATTCCTTTTTTTTTCTTTTCAGTAAGTCCAACTGTAATAGCGCTAATTGTTATTGGAGCAATCCTAATCATAATAATATTTGCCGCAGGAATATACTTTGCTCTTCGTACAGGCAGAAATGGTCAACGCTATATACATTCATTTGCTTAGCAAATCAATATAATTTAAAATAATACTCATTATACATAGATTCGAAAAGAAAATATAATCAGTATGTACATTGAATAATTATAACTTATATGTTGATATTATTTGATTGAAAAATAATAATGTATTTATGATAAATTTTTAGGTTGAAAGCATTTTCTGTAAAATTTTATTGCATAAATTTCTTCTCTTTTTTTTTAATATCTACAATCTATCAGTGTATTTAATTATATATGTGATATAAACAATTTCATTTCTTTTTGTCGACTTTGTTTTGTTTTTTTTTAATTTTTATGCCGATTTCCCTATATATTAAAATTTCTTTCAATGTTCAGATTCTAATTTGCAGAATCATATTTTGTCATCTGATATGTTATATAATAGTGAAAAACATACTTTTAAATTTATTTCAATTCTGTATGTAGAAATCTTTGTATTTGTAAAAAAAAAAAGTACATACCCTTTTATTATCGTTTTTCATAGTTTTACTTATACAATAAAAAATTTTCATTGTTTTTAAAACAAGATTTGATAAGGTTTAATATATGTTATATCTGTCAGTTATAATATTGAATAAATCAATTCCAATGAGTCAATATTCTATCATGTTCATTTGTGTATTTGATAAAAAATAGTGGAAATGATTAACTGAATTGTTGGGTCGGCTTCCGGAGAACTTCAACGGAGCCTCCAGAGGCCCAAAAAGGAGCCGAAGAGTCCTATCCAATCAGAGTATGATGGAACGTTCGAGAATTCCAGCGTGGCGTGCTACCATTGGTTGGTAGCATAATATGTTGTTAACGGATTGGCTGAAATACTATGTTGATTTAACAGACGCCAACATCTATAAATGCCCTTGATTTTCTGTACAAAAATGAACCTTGGGATAAAGTGTTTTCACTCATACTTGTGTCTTCTCTCTGGAGTTCAAGTCGCTATGTAGTTACAGTCTGCGGGTTTCGAGAATAGCTTAGGAATCGTATATAGCGTTCAACCTACACGACTTATCATGAATAAACTTTCAAACACAATGTCTTTACCATAGACATGTCAGGATTTCATTTACGTACCTTTGAATAATAAGTATTGTTGATATATACACGAGCTCAGTGAGTCTTTGATGGCGTCCGTACTGAAGAAGACTCAGTTTCAGTTTTCTTATTTTATATGTAAACCTAAATAATCTGTTATTTTCTTACAATCTATTGAGAGGATTCTTCTTACAATTTCAGTTAATATCTCGGGTGGCATTAAAAATTAATTGCTTGTTTCGCATAAAACGGTGTCTGAATGACAGGAAATTATTGGCTTTAAGACAAGATTCCATCCACAACATAAAAGTCCTTGTTTTTAAAAAGATAGTGTGAACTAAATGGTTATAACAAAATCATGGGTTGCTTTCTAGTGAAAATTCAAATAGTTTTGAAAGGTTCTTTTCAATAAAATAAACGGGAAAAAACAGCTATTTATTTTTAAGGAAGTTTTAGGACAAGATTTTTAAAAACTGAGTAACGTAAATCCGGAATTCTTTTACGTTTCCATTTGAACAACACCATATTGTACGCTATAATCTGCTTTGAGAAATAGTTCATTCCTTAAATCATAGTTTGTTGATGATAAATCAAGTGCCTAGCAAATTTCCATTACACAAGTGAAGATACTATATTCAGAGAAGTATCACATTTCCACGAATCTACTATTATGTATGTATATAACTTTCTAACTTAATTTGGTGAGATACAACCAGTTAATGTAGATGACTACGTTATGAAAACAATCTAATATTGTAGTTTAAATCAGCAACCAATATTAGCTAGACTACCTTCATCCTAGAACCCAGGTGGTCTCGCGTGCAAAAGTCTAATTTTTAGTCCACAACTGCAGCATTTGATGGTGAACACTCCTGATTTCAATCAGTTCGCAGTACTGCAAGATCATTTTTAGTAGCACGGTGTGACTAGAGGACTTCAGCCAAGTTGCGTGTATGACGGTTATCTACCCCAGACTATGGAAGATGGTATTACAATATCGCGAATTGATGAAAGCTAGGCATACACAGCACTATATTCTGTCTGTGGTCAGAAGATTAAGTATTTGCATACGAGACCGAATATCCCAGGTTTCATCCTTTGCAGAGGGGTTAAGGATGTGCATTAGGTAGTCTCATGCTAGGATGAAATAGATGTCTAGTGTTTCTGGTTTTTAATGGTCGTTTAGATGTTGGGGATGCTAGATACCCAAATCACTTGGTAAACGTCTCATTTTTGTAATTTTATTTTGGAAATTTGAATGGTACCAAAAGTTATGGGAATGTAAAAAACGAAATAATGGAAAGATGACATTTTCAAATACGAAATATATGAAATGAATTTAAAACAATGATAATAGTTCAATACTACGATAGATATTGACATAAAACATACTTATTTTGTATGTAGTATTCAAGCTTCTTTTCATGGAAAGCTGTAACTTGTGATCTTTTAAAGAGTTGAAAACGAGGAAATCTTATTAAGCTTGTACAGACTCGATAACCAACCTTGAAATCAACATGTGGGTTAGCCTAAATGATCAATCGACTGAATGTTCAAGGACAGAAAAGTAACTTTAATTATTATGTAATGATTAGTACTATGTTAAATGGTATGTAGCTGAAGAGAATCCATGAAATAATCGGATCCGCATCATTCTTCTACGATCACTGTTCTTTCTTTATTCAAATTTATAGATGGGACAAACTGTGTCAAATAAGCACTCTAAATAACTGTTCCTAAAATTTACTATTGTTAAACAGGTTTAAATGTCATTTTTCGAAGCCTTTTCCGTTTTTAAACTTACATGCTTCACGAAATATGTGAATTTTAACTTATTTAATTCTTTTGAAGATTTATTTTAATTAGAAATGAAAACAATTGAGGTTTAACATAAAATGTGTTTGTCCTTCAAAGTAATTTGAAGGTCATTAATACCACATGGTATTACTTTTCTACTATTCATGCGAAAAATGGATACATTAACATATGATTCTATTAATTAAATTGGTTAGATGAAAGTCTTTGATAAATCAATCAAGTGTGTACAATCGCGTTGAGAAAATGAAAATAGAATTTCCGAAATAATCAATACAGATAATAATTAATATGAGAAATTGAAGAAATTAATTTCACAACAAAAGTTGAACTCAAGAAAGAAACAAAAACAAATGACCAAGATCGAACAAAAAGTCAGTTTTTATCACAGACTGACATCAAAAGTAGAAAACCCTTACAGGCACACTTACATAAGGTCGAGCTCAGGATATTAAGATCTCATCACAAACAAGTCAAATTCAAGTTCCAAACGAAAACACCATTTTATACTCTTAGTTTTTACAACCGTTTAAATAATTAAAATTAATCTTTAAGCTGAACAATCCACCACTAAACTAAACGATAACACTGAGTAAACAAGAGATTCAAACTGAACGTATTATGCATCAATCAAAAGGGACTAATACTGATATATTCATATGATGTCCCATTATTTTCTCAAATTACATGTAAATACTAGGGGAAAAAAGACTCCGTGAGAAGCAACTTATAATAGTTCAGATATGTCATCATACTACAGATCATCAATCTTATAACTTAAACTCAGTCTTCAAAGGTAGTTTTTGTCAACCAACACAAAACTAATTTACATTGACAGAAATATTTGTTAGTCGTTTCGTTCTACGTACTTGATTTAAACCACATGTGTCATGTGATATGTAATGCAACTTTCACCAATAATTCTCTATACAGATTTTTTTAGGAAGTTGTCGCGTCATCTAAGCATCTATCATAAGATGAATATGTTGTATAAATTAGTATAAATTTTCATTTCTAGTCTTAAGATCTCTCTCATTTAATGAGTAACTGGAGAAATAACCCCACATATTTGGTCAAATTTACGACGCATACTGTGAGACTTATTTGAAAAACTGACGGTGGCGAAATCCTAATACGAGAACCTGGTATTTAAAAGATAGTTAACAATGGCGATAGTATTATATGATTAGAAATCAAAGTATGATTTCGTTCGGTACTTATGTTAATTTAAATGAAAGACTTCATTTATTTATCGATAATGAATCTAACACATGATGTCAAATTTCACATCGTTTGGTTAATATTAGAGTCGGTAATTTACGGAAAAGAATTTTTTAAACTTAACCAGAGGAAATAAGTGACTCAACTTTATTTGCTTAGAATTCAAAATTGGACAATTATATATCCAAATATAGGTAGAGTTTAATTATACAGATCAAATGTCATAAATATAAGGAACAGGAAGTTATGAAAAGTATTAGTTAACTTTTATACTTTTCTTCAGTAAAAGGTTGGTGGTTACTACATAATTTCTTCGTTCAGTGGAAAACTTGAAGTATTTCAAACACCTGTACTCATAAAAAATCAGATGAAATGTCTTATTGAAGATAGGAGAAAAGTGTGTAGTAATCTGAAGTTACTGTACAGTGTGTTACAATGAAACTAATAGACAAGTTAAACATTCTGTGTTGGATTATGTTTATGGCCAATAACAGTGAAAGATGTTTCTTCGTTGGAATCAGTACCATTATCATCAACTTCAGGAAATGTATCTGACGGTCGACCAGTACGTGAGATTAAACGTAAAACAATACCTGAGATTTGATATCTATGATTTTTTGGTGACTGAATGCCAATCAACTCCCAAGATGTAGAGGTATTTGTGTACGTAGACCTACAGATGGGGCACTGCGTGCGATTAATATCTGAAGGTCTGCAGCTGCTGGATCCTTGACCAGAAACAGACGATTCTGAACTTGCTGACGGCAACTGATAACTAATTCCGGCCCTAAATAAAAATAATGTTAAAGTACAGGTAAATAAGCTTGAACATAAAAATATATCTAGATATTACACATAAGTGGATGAATTATTTATAAGACTTACTGAAGCCGAATATAGGGCACACTTAAGATAACTATAGTTTTATTGACCTTCACTGTGTAGGTATTTCGACATCTTGATACATAAAACATTCTGTAACCAGTAGATTGTATATAATTATCCAATACTTATGGAAGGTAACTATGCATAATCGGAAATCCGAGAATTTCGGGATTGCATTCCACCACGTACCGAAAACGGCTTCAGTGGATAAAAAGAGATGAATTCATCACATTATTGCAAATGTGACAGTAATAACAAGATGTAGACTAGCTTATCAAGTTTATTTATTTATTATTTATTTTAACACACAGACATTGGTACAAGGAGGCACCAAGTAGATATGCGCCACATAAATCATTCAATTCGTGTGAGGGCTGGGATACTGTTCAGGTGCCCAGACCGAAACAGTTGGTTTTCTTAGGGGGCCACACCCGGAGCCTTTGACCTAAGGGTCTAACCCACAAGGCAGTGGAGCATCGTGAGGAGATCCAGTCCCATGGTAGCCGGTGACCAACGATTGGTCCATACGACATTTGTTCCCCAAGGATACTGGAGCCCATGTGCACCCCATTGGTTCGGAATCCGATTAAAGCACCGGACATTTGCTTTTCGTCCTCTCGATGTCGTAACAACACTCCCGCCACGAGAAGGCATTGAGTAGGACTTCCCTAGTAGAGGCTGTATACGCGTGGCCGTGTGAGCATTCCGAGAGGGAGGGTGGGCCCAGCCCACTCTCGGCCATACCAGGGCATTTGAGGATAGCTTATCAAGTAGCAAGTATATTAAGCAGCATTCTACTCTGTATTTCAGTACGCATGTGAAACAATGAATGTAACCAAGACATATGTGTATTCATTACTCACCGTTTAAAAGAAAAAACAGATCACTCTAAAATATCTTTTCACATGTACTTCAGCTTGATTGACGACAGCTAGAGCAGCAGTAATACTTATGAAAGAAAACAGTCTCAAAGAGCTTTTCAAGTAAATGAATCTCATTTGCAGTGGAATCGAACAATTCAGTATATTTAACGAACTGATTAAGAATTTCAAATCTAAATTATTTAAAAAAACCACAATGGATACTTCTATTATATCAAAAAATACTTGAGTTACAATGTTATCTAAAATCTATCGTTGCTATGTTGCCAAATAGTAATATAATAAGACAGGTAATTCATTTCTCGACAACAAACTTAATCTAGATGAAATTACTTAGATTACTAGACTTTAGAGCAGTAGTGAATTAACTGAAGAATGGATCCACTATCCCTAGTATAAAAGTGCCATTGAGTTTAGTGAGTCAGAAGACAGACCATGTAATAAAATGCTGAGATACCTAAACAGCCTGAGCAACAATATAAGAGATTAAGATGTATTCTTCCAAATGCAAGATAGGGCTTCTAAAGTGATGTCCTGATTACTAGCTTAAGGGTGAACAATGAACTACTCGAGCATGTTAACCACTAAATATTTCACGAGAGCCTGATAAACCCCAGCTGGTTGGCAGTTGATATTTCACCACGGTTACAAACTGAACTGGTATTTGAGAATTCGTGTCACTGATAGCATACAGTGCTTGGTTATTTAATATGGTTGAAGGTGTAAGGCAGGAAAGCATTTGATCACCGATAACTTAAGAGCATTTTAAACGCAGTGCCAGCAACGAAGTTGGTAGATCTACTGACAAAAGCCTTGGCTTTGATGGAAATAGTAGTTGAGAAAGAGGTCACATTCCCATTTAAGCCCCATCATTAAGAGCAATAGTGGGTAGGATGAGAGTAGACTAAAAAAAACCTTGGAGACTCAAACGAAGCATCTGTCCGTGAGAATGTTTACTGAGGGTTTAGGCTGTGTAAGAAATGCACCTATCAGGACCCAGGCGAAAACTGTGAGTTGTGACCGAGGACCTTATATAACACGCCCAGCAAACCGTCACAGTAGTAGTGGCGTAGCTGCACTTTTGATTTCATACTAAAATACATGTTATCCATCATTTCGTAAATTCCGTTCTTATCTACTTTGTTTCTTCAAGACATATTCTAATGTATTTGGTGTTATTATTTTTACTACAACTACTCGATACCATTTTGTGACTGGTTATTATAATTGCATTAGTACTGCAGACATCTAAAGCCTAACGTAAGGCCAATATTTTCAGATGTCTTCCATTAATTATGGAGAAGCATCGCTACAACTGCTAGTTATTTGTTAAAAAAACCAAAGTCAGTAAATCCCGCTATGGTAAATCGCACAACTTTAAAGTTGTGTGAATACCTAGATAATTATTGGTATTCAAGTACCGCAAAGGCCACCCAGTAAAGAATCCTATACTGTCGAGTAGTATCAAATGAACAATAAATCGGATCATTACACTCTACCACAGCACTAAAATCTTACTCTTATATATGGATGAATGGCTTGTCTAACATGATGTCAGTACATATAACTGCAGATATGAAATATCACGGTATATTGAGACTTCTCACTTCAAACATGTGTGGGATATATGACCAACGAGGACTAGGTCTATCTAAACATCACCTCCAATTGTATATTGAATGTCGTGCAATTATATACCCTTACCGTTTCCTGAAATTACTTTTACTATTATGATTCTAAGCCTTTTGGTTTATCATCTTTGTGACTTCTCTATGTAGTCATGTAAAGTGTGATAACTAAGATAGATAGGTTTTTTGTCTACTTGACAAGTGAACATAGAAATCAAATGATCTTGAACACTAAGTATAACGGGTCTCACAACGGTGTGAAATTCCCGTACTTAAAGCCTTTCTAAAAGTGATTAGGTATTTTGCTATTCTCTGACTTGTAAGGAATAGAGCAATGTACTGTCCGTATTTATGAAACTCACCAACCAAAGACAATACAAATGACAGAATCTTCTGAAAATCAAGAACTTCGTATATTTTACTCAGAATGTAGACCAGACGTCCAACATTTACGCAGCTTCAGGAATGTATAACGAAAAACGGTGGCATTTGGATAAGCTGTCGGCAACCGATGATAAAACAAAGAGACCGCTTGATGTGAAGCATCTTATGATAAAGTAACAGGCTTTCACTACAAAAGCTACGTTTCAAACACTTTAAACTTAATCAGTCGGCATAGCTTACTGGTGAATGCTTGCATGATCATAGACTTAATAGCGACTGACGAAGTACGACAACATATTTCTACACATAGAAATTCCAAGTTGGGTTGAAAACACTTCGACAAATGAAGTTAATTGCTTGGCAGCTTCATCAAAGGATAGATGTGTTCAAGTTAACGAGTATCAAACCAACTAATCTTTAGTCACGCTTTGTAATTTCTAATTGTTGACTCTTCGAAATTCCGTGAATATGTCAACACTGGGATGCAAGTATACCCAGCTGACTAGTTCAAAAAAAACTTAATTGTGTATTTAGGACTCTCTGTTATCTAGGATCCAAATATACTGAAACAATATTTATAAAAGCTACATGAATATCCTAAATACAGCCGTGTTTATTATTTGTTGGAACTTCGACAACAGGACTCTGGATTCAAAAATTTCGCTATGCAATGATCCAATAGTGGAATCTAGGGTTCAAACGAATGAATTCAAACTATGCTTAGCTGCAAAGAAGCAGTAAAACTGTAACTGAAATAAAACAGTAAACTCACCATTTGTTAATGCATGGTTGACAGAATGAGTGCATACAAGCAAGAACAGTGTCAGGCTCTCTATCCAAGCAGATACAACAAGGATCATTAGAAATTTCCTTAGCGAAATCCCTAAAAAATATTACATTTATTGATTAAACAACAAGCTACGGCATCTCAGGTTGAGAATCAATTAGTGACTTGAAGCGGATGATCTCATCATATAACCGCAAAAATTCGATAAGCTCCAAAGTTCTGTATATTGAACGGTTTTTCTTTGACTAGTATTCTCGAAGTTCATTCAAATAGCTTACAATTCTACAGAAGACTTTAGCCGATAATCGCCAGAAAAGGTTTTCCTGTTGTTTTTTTAGAGCGAACTTTACGAAAGAACACTGTTCTTCAAACGTAGTGATACACCTAAATGTAAGTAGAAAATACATACTATTTTTACAGTTGATTTAACTGAGAAACCATTTCAACCAAATCCTCATAACTGGTTCTTGACAGTCTAGTTGTCAAACATATGTTTTGGTTTAAATTATGAAGGGTCTCATGTAGCGCAAGTTTCATGCAGTAACCCAAAGCTAAACATATGATTGAGTTAAATACGAAACTTACATTTTGGTGGGTGTGGTCCAAACATAATCCACTAGGAGCCCTATAAGATATACGTTTTGTTTTCAGTGAGCCGGTGAAGAAAGAGATATTGAGACTAGAAGTGAACAATCTAGAACATAGAGAAAAGAAAGGATGCACGAAGAAACGGTCGAACCGATTAGCTAACGAAACTAATGTTGGCGCGCAACCTGGCCTATATTCAACCGACCTAAGCACAGGTTTGAAAAAAATGCTTGGAATATTTTAGCCAGCCGACTATAAATAAAAATCATTCGAACAATTACGCTGCCTGAGGCACTCCCAGAATTATTATTAATTTCGTGGATGGATAAAGAAAGAAATTTGGCGTGATTGACAACCCCATCTCATTAAAAAGAACGTTACTAAAATACGCTGTCCATGTCCAGATTCTGTACAATACATTTGTCGAACAGTATGATTCATTATGGAGGAGTTTGAGAAAGGTTAACGTAGGTACTCCTAATTCAAATAGCATATTTCGGTCACTCTGTGTATCATTTTCCTTTCTATGTTAAGCATATAATTCTATCGTAAACTTCAAAGTATCCTGTTACGGTGCTCAAAAGGCACACTAGTGGCTGCCACTGAAAATTTCTCCAGAGTGCTATTTCGGATGTTTTTATCAATTGTCTGATTTTCCACCTTGTCTTGTACTCCAATCTTTACCCAGAACCCGCGTAACCAAAGTTTTATGTCTCATGGTAAATTTAGACTAGATCTTCAAAATTTTATGTTGACTAAGAGTCACCTTCATTACGCAACTTCATTACTTTGTGCTGAAGGAAATTGACAGTACTGTCGTTTTTTGATAAACCAAAGGTTAAGCAGTGAAGTAATTAATCATTGTTGTTCTCTGATTGTCGTTTGGAAACAGTTTTTTGAATCTTTACAGACAGATATTTTATCCGAATTTGTTGGGAATGTACTTATCGATTCCTAGGCATTTAACATTCATTAACTAATCATTCTTTTCTCTGTAGAGTATGCTATCTCGTTTTATCTTAACATTTGCAAAGTGCAGGGCAGTGTATATCGCCTCCAAAGTCGAGATCACCACACTTTCAGAAATTGCCTGATACCTGTGTTTTTGCGGTATGAAACACATAGCCAAGTGGTTCTGTAGAGGAACTGACTGCTAATAAGGTTGCTTATACTACAGATAGCATTAAAAATAAGGCAAACTCAGAAGCAAGCTGGCAAATCGAAAAAATAAACAATGATAATACTGTAATGACAAGATTTTGATCGAAAAATCGATATTATCTAAATTTAACAAAACTACTGTGTTGTTCCGTGCTATGTGCTCAACAATGGCAGAAATGAAAACGATAAGGACCGATTTTATGAAAACCTGTAGTCAACCAAAGAAATGCCCGGGAAGAGGCTTGACAATCAAAAAGGAAACATAAACGCCACAGTCTTTATGAACACATCAATTATGGAAAAATTATCGGAAGACATGGGTTAGAAGGAAAGAACGAAAATGTTGAAAGATTCACAAAAAGATCTGCAACTACTCCCAAAACGACGCATACATAAAGCAGCATGGGTCTCACCAGATCACACTGCACAAAACTAGACCGATTTCACTTTCATTAGTGAAAATTCAGAAAGCCCTTGGAAGATGTGAGAATTAACAGAGGAGCCAATACGGTTTCGTTTAAGCAATTAGTGGTTGCTAAGGTGAAACTTAAACATATAAAGCACTGCATAACTATACAAACAAAATTACAAAGCTTCAATACAGACTTCTTTTGAGATACTACCAAACTCAACGAATTCAAGATAGTTCTCAAAAGCAGGTTTCAGACTCTGCAAGACGTACTCATGGAAGAAAAAACCACTATGCCGAACAGTTGCGAAGATGCTAAAGATGCATAACACTCAACATGCAGGGAGGTGCTGAACAGTGAGTAACACAGGCACATGGAGTATATGTCTGCTAGTACGCAGAGCAAGACTCAGGAAAGAAAGAGCAAGGAGACGGTGATTAATGAAAGCAGAACAATAATAGAGAAAATCAAGGCAAACGCCGAATACCCAGAAAAAATAATCAAAAAGATGAAAATTACAAATGACAGGCAGGAATACATGAAAGACCTACTGATCGCAGCTGAAAACGTTGCAAAAAATGAAACATCCGGCAATTATACGACACAACGAAGAAACTACCAGCGACATATATTTAATCAGAGCGACCAGCCAAGCGCTCAACTTTAAGGAAAGGAACAGATGGGCAGAATAGTTTGAAGAACTTTCGAATATACCAGCTCCATCGAATCCACCGGATATCGAAACAACCCAAACAGGCTTTCTTATAGATGTCACTCTACCAACGATCAAAGAAATCAGAATGACCATCAGGCGAATCAATAGTGGGAAAGCAGCTGGACCTGACAACACATTAGCTGAACCACTGAAGACAAACGTAGGAGTAGCTGCAAACACGCTCCAGTTTCTATTCAAGTTGATTTGGGAGGAAGAACAAATTCCGACGGATTGAAAAGAACGACACCTTGTCAGGATACCAAGAAAAGGGAATCTTAGCAAGTGTGAGAACTACAAAGACACCATGCTACTATCAGTGCCAGAGAAAATTTTCAATAAAGTGTTTTTGAAAATATTGAAAGACTCAGTAGACGCCCATCTTCAAGATCAGCAGTCTGTGTTCCGTAAGGATTGATCGTGCAAACAACGAATCACAACTTTATGCATCATCATTGAGCGATCAGTAGAATGGGATACATCATTATACATCAACTTACTTGGCTATGCATCTTTCTTCACCAATATCATCCGGAATTCATACAACGGACTGCACTGCAATGTCCTGCATTGACACCAGCAGTAAGACACGTCCCAAGTGAAGAAGGGAGTCGGACAAGGCTTCTTATTCTTTCCTTTTCGCTTTCTTCTAGTGGATGACTAAAGTGTGGAGACCTCCGCCTCTGATGGAAGCACGGAATACAATGGACAGCCTGTACGCAGCTAGACGAATCGGACTTCGCAGATGATCTGGTCCTTCTGTCCCACGCACACGAACAAATGCGGATGAAAACAGCCAGTGTTTCAGCAGCATCTTTGTCAGGAGGCCCTAACATATACGAGGGAAAAAGCAAGATTCTCAAATAAAACACAGAGAACACCAATCCAGTCACACTTGACAAAGAAATTGTGGAAGAGGTGAAACTTTTCACGTATCTGGAAAGCATGATCGATGAACCCGGAGGATCTGATGCAGATGCAAACGTGAGGATCGGCAAATCAAAGATAGCATCTTTATTGTTGAAGAACATATGAAACTCAAAACAATTGTCAACCAACGTTGAGGCAGTCCTATTGTACGGAGCTGGAACTTGGAGAAACTACCACAACCATCACCAAAAAGTTGCAAGTATTTATAAGGAATTGTCTACGTAAGATACTCAACGTCCGTTGGTCGTATACCATCAGCAACATCCTTCTGTGGGAGAGAACAGACCAGCTTCCATATGAAGCGGAAACTAGGAAAAGTCATTGCATGAGGATAGGACACACATCGGGGAACTAATCAAACCGCATCACGAGGCAAGCGTTAACTTGGAAACGTGACGATAAAAAATGAAAAGAGGAAGGCCAAAGAACCTACTGCGTTGAGAATTAGAAGCACATATGAAAAGGATCAAGAGCAACTGGAAAGAACTAGAAGGGATTTCTCACGGCAGAGTTGGATGAAGAATGATTATGAGAGGCTTATGCTCCTATATGCGAGGTAAGAGTTTTAAGTGAGGTCAACGGGTGGACACTAGAGGATCGAATGAAAGTAGCAATGGTCGGTCATGCAGGTGTGGTCACACAACGTCTTTCTTATTATATCAATCATATTACTTTCTCCTCAGCCCAAATGTTGTTCTTCAAAAGTGCCAGACTTCATAATGCTGGGTTCATGAGAAGACGAGTAAGTGTTGGCAGTGATGTAACTTCCATTCAAGATCTTATAAACTGGGTAATGACATCGTGACAAATCCACTGTTTTTGAATCGGACCTACTATTACAATGGCATTGATACTGAATTTGACTATAAATCTCGCGTTCTATCGCACTAACCCATTTGTTATCTAGTATGTGTATCTGAATTAGTACAAAATTACATCATTTTACTGATTTTACTAAATGAATAACCCCAGTTTGATGGTGTCTCACTTTCAAACTCATATTACATATTCTTTACCATGAATGCAAAAATGTTATGAGCCTGTTATAACAGAAATAACTAAGTATTACGGCAAGTAGGTATCAACAATTATGGTGAGGTCAGATAACGAACAATTAAAAGTCCACTGTCACTAGATACAGTTTTGAACGATCCTGACACGGCTAATTCTACCGTACAAACGCTATTTGATTCAACCAAATAAATGAAATTATCGATAATAATGAAATTTTAATTCCATTCGCATTCAATTTTGTCCATTTTAACACGGATTTCATGGATTACAATAGGTATGTGAGTTACTACGGTATCTTCTCTCTGTTTCTATTATCTTCTTCGTCATCTGATTCCAATCGAAGCTATTTTTAAGTACGAAGTATGTGAAAAGTTTAAACGTAATACAATTTAACTCACAAAACCGACATGTTATTTCATAAGAATATATACAGAAAATCCTTAGATCTATCCAAAACGAACATATAGATAGTGGTTTCAGCGTACATACATGAGCAGACCAGGGATTTAATGAGTTTTGCAAGAGATGCAACAAGGTCATTAAAAATCTCATTGAAGTGGGTATCATTGTAAAATCTGTTTTAACATTTAAATCACACAATTGAGATATGCTGACGTTGAAATTCACAAAAACAACGAATTGTCTTAAAAGCTTGAATTTTTGAGGTGTCTGTGGCACCCTGAATGTCTGTAAGTCTGCAACAATAACATAAAGAATAATTACAACATATGATAGTGCAAATGACAGGTAATAGCTGTGTCTAATCTTGATAACACTTTGTCAACAAGCAAAAGCGGAACCAGAAGCAACAAGGATTAAAGGACGATACAAAAACTGATTATAACTGTTACAGAGATTGGAAGGAAGTAATTATAATCATAGATACAATAAATGCTATAAGTGTATGTAAGTATTTTAGAATATTACACGACAAACTTTCACTATCACATACGCGTATAAATTGCTGGGAATATAACTG